ATATTTCGATATATTGATATGCTGTCAGATTCACCGGAATCGAATTAAAACAAACGACACACGATCAATGAAAACCGATTTCGATTTTAAACGATAGAAAAGGAAGCAGCGAAAACTTCACACATACAAAATTATAATAATAAAATACGCTTGACTATATTGTGTCATTGATAATTTCTTGCGCTTCCATTCATATCGATGTGATATTCATCGCATATCAATTGTCCGATATGCACTGTTCACTTAACTTTATATCAAAATTAAACTTACCACAAGATTCATATCGACGATTTCGCACCATAGCTGTCGTTCAATTTTTTCTTCGTTCTCTCTTGATTCAATGGACTTTTTTTATGATATTAATGGAGACTCAAGACAATTGTTTACATATGACACTAATCGTACACGTTTCGGGTCGAATTTTTGTTATGCCAAGTGGTTCACGAAAAAAATGGACTGAAAATTCAATTTAAGTGTTTATTGCCCCGAATTATAATGAATCTGCGGGTCTGAACAAATTCTATGATGATTACATCAACAGAGAAAAAGTAGAGAGGATCCTTGATTGTCGGCACGATATTTTCCACATTTGACAGTTCCCAAGATACTAATTATAATATTATGAATTCTCAACCACTTAACATCATTTTCACACTGGTCTACGTCGAAAATTTTCTCTCTGTCTCTCTTTCTGTCTCAATTCCATTTATCATAATACTGATGAAATTTCTCTCTCTCTCTCTTTCTCCCTCATTCTATCTCGTATTATGTATTTTTGTCGCATGCCAACAAAATCTGGTCGATAGAATACATCGTTATCACATTAAAGTGGCTTCGCTATCTCAATAGAAATTGAATAATACTGAAACGTAAACAACCTCGGTTGCCGACGCATCTCTGTGAAGAATTATAAATTTAAAAAGAATGCAAGAGCTGTCAAAATTCTGTACAATGTGCAAATCAAGTGAATTTAAAAAAAAACCGAAAAGCATTTGCGTTTATAAAGTGAAAAAAACTGAGAAGGAGAGAGACAGATGAAGATAGTACATATTTACAATATAAAGACAAATATAAATAACAAATCTTTGGAAAAAAAAAATCCCGCTGTCTGTCGTTCATTTGATGATGGGTGCTTGTACATTAATGGCACCGTAATTTCGTTTTTCCCCTCATCCGTCTCTATATTTTCTATTGAAAGTATGTCAAATTTTATCGTCTTGTCTTCACGTCACACATTGCATGAACTCAAGTTAGTTAGCGAAATTCCAACGTCAGCCATGAATTCCTTTCTCATCTTACCTTCATCCCGCCCCCCCCCCCTCTCTCTCTCTCTCTCTCTCGTTCATCACATTTGCTCTGGCATTTCAATCGTCTCGTGTCAGTCGTTAACATGCGCCAAATCGTAATTGATCTTGTCAAACATCAATCGTGTACGAATAAAATTGCAGCGAGCGAGCTTTTCATTTGTTTTACAGTTTAATTGAATGCTGTCCTGTGCATACAAAGAGCGATTCAGCTTCTACTAAAAAAAGGGAAATACACGCAAGCACACATAGTATGTGTCACATACACACACACATTGTACTACATGTTTTCACTTCGACTGAAAATTGTCGAAATCTAAATACGATTCTTAGTAGTACAGTATGTTTCATTATAGAGGCCGGTTGATTTTTCATATTAAAACCCAAGAGTTTTACAAAATTATTTTATATTCATTTTATTCGAGTTCTAAGCTACGGCGCCAATAATCAATAGTTAATCCATTCACCATCCTTTTCGATCACACGGGCACATCTTTTCGGCATACTTTTGCTCAAATTTTCAGCATATTCACGTTGAAAACCTTTCCACTGGCGTCGAATGAATGAATTGAGCTGCTTCAAATTGCGGTGTGTTTTACCACGAAGCCTTGCCATAATAATGGCCCAAACATTTTCGATCCGATTGCAATCGGGTGATTGTGGTGGCCAGTTCATTTGTTTAATGTCATTTTCCACCTTCCAGCAGTGCTGAGACGAATTTTGTGTTTTGGATCGTTGTCTTCTAATAGAAGCCAATTCGAATTGCCGTTGCCATAGAACTTCTTGGCGGTGGGTAACAGTGTCGACGAATAAAGTTGGTTCATCCTCACAGCATTTAGAATGCCCGTGAATACGGTCAACTTTCCAAAACCACCTGCTTATACTGCTGGATCCACTTTGTTACGAACTCTCTTGACCTTTTAATGTGTTTTGCGATCTTCACTATTGACCATTTTGGTTGTTTTGGATGTAAATGCAAAAACACCGCTTCAAAACGCTTATGAAAATATTCCGAATCCATATTTTCGTTGCACAACAAACACTGTAGTGATTTGAGAACTGTCAAAGTTAATTGGCGCATTAGCTTAGAGTGCCATCTGGCGACACCAAAAATATTTTCAAGATATTTGAAACTTTTTGTGGTTAAATCAACCGGCCTCTATAATGAAACATACTGTACATGCACCATTTTACTGACATAGTAGTTCCTAAATTCAATTGTTAAATATTCAAGTAGTTTTTAGTGGTCATATTTATGTCGGTATGTTCACTTCTGTTTATTGTTCGGTTTACGCATATACCTGTGCCTTTCTCATCTTTAAATAATGTGTATTTTATGTGTGCAACAAAATTCCAATATAATTTCCATTCATTTATTCCATGAATAGACTGTTGTTACCGCAACAAATAGCATAGAGGCGTACGCAAATCGCATAGGTAGAGCTGCACCATTGTACTTAGTGTATATGTCATTTCATGTTATTTCATTTCTCGTTCGATTTCTCTTGCGGGCGTGATTCGCTAAAACTGCATCGAAATTGCGCACACCGTACATTCGACTATAGAACAATGCCTTGACAGTTGACAAGATAATGTTTATTTATTTGTAGTAAAATAAATTAGTTTAGACGGTGAATTGGTCTCTCTTTTTTTCATTCTTGAAATGAAAAAAAAAGGTAATTCCGCTAAACTGAATGTGAGGCAGAAAAAATCGATTACATATGAGTATATTGTGTGTCGCATATTTGTGCCGAAAGCAATATACGAATCATTTACACATGTTCATCAACATTCATGCATATACCGACACCACATAACCTTATTGAGCATGAGATAGATACAGATGGAGAGCGGGACGCATGGAAAATGAGTGAAAGACTGATGATGACGATTAAATTGAATTAAAATTCCTGTCACATACATACAACAACCGTAGCATTGAATTTTATTTCATTTTCGGTTTGAATGATGTCAAATCATCAGCAAATAAATCGTTACACACTCATATGTATGTAATTTAAATTTCGTATTTCATTGCGTCTTATAGACGTCGATTTTCGGGGGGCGAGAATGTGATCGCGTCTCGTGATATGGCTACAATCTTTAGATTTTGCAAAAACATATACAGTCAACCGCACATGAACATTCGAAATGAAATGAAAGTAAACAATGTGGAAAAATTTCCATTCATACTGATTTACGTACAAGAGCCAGCAATGCCACACATCGCATTTAATTATGAAAAAAGATGTAATCATATGGTTGAAAACGACTTTTTTGACTTGACTTTGTCGTAATCAAAATCGAAAAGTGATACACCGGGGCCTCTAGCGTCACAAGGACGAAGAGAAGTGGGTAATGTATGTGCGATATTCCATTCAAACTGTATTTAAGTAACATTACTCGATACGTAAGCACACGCAGTCATTTCATTTTTCTACACACTCTCTTTGACAAGCATACGGGCGAACAAGAATTGGAAGGAGAAGAAGAAGAAGAAGAAAAATCTAATAGGACTTGGGCAATTTATTTACTTAGTTCTCTTCATTTTGCAATATGCTATGTATGTATAGTCGGTGCCGAATTTCATTTTCATTTGTCAACGTGCTGAAGACCTCTGACAAGGGACAAAACGAAAAAGAGATGAGGCTCGCATTTGTGAAAGTAAATTTTGTTTACATTGCCAAGCCAACAGCGAACAAAATGTGAAAGGAAAATGCCGAGCAAAGCTTTATGTACTCTTTGTACATAAACACCAGTGTTTTTCTTTCGTGTCTGTATGCTTTTGTTGTATTTTATACGAAGTGAAGGGATGAGAACGAATGGAGAATGAATTTGAACCGTTTTCTTTCTCGGCTAAATGATGGTGAAAAAACAAACCAATTTATCTTTGCCGCGGTAGCAATAAACTTATTCAAGTTGTGTGCATAATGCTAAAAGTCAATTTCGACAAAAGAAGAACAAAAAAAGTAACGAAACACATCCCGTTGATGCGCAAAACCGAATGCCTAGCAAAGGGAAAATATTAATGTAATGGTCTCTTAATTAATGATTTCAAGTTGGAATTTGTGTGTGTGCAATGGGGCTGGTTTTGTTTTTAAAAATAAACCCATATTCCCCAATGCGGTAAATACATTTGCATTTTTCGTTGGGTAAATACTCACGATGTGCGTAAGCATAAAACAAACACGATTTTGAAAATTGGCCAAAAATAAATCATCGTGAGATATTTGCATAAACCGATGTTTAATTAATGGCATTGAAATGATGAAAGAAAGCAACATTCGAGATTGCTTTTCAATACGATAAATCTTCTAATATTATTCGATCAAATGAAAAGAAGGATTTAAATGAAAACGTTTATTACGATCATTTTTCTCTGTCTTCATTATTTACACTAAATTGGTTACCGTTGATGAATGAATGTGATCGTATGCGGAAAGGAAACTTTTATTTTGTGTCTTGGTGCCTGTTGCCTCAAAATAGATAGAAAAGGAAGTCGAAATATGGTGTTGGTATGATTGACTACTATTGCATGTTATGAATGGAAAATGACGAAGAAAATCGAAAAAAAGGAACAAACACATGCACACACAGACAAAATGCTAACCATTTCAGTCCATTCAACAATCAATATTATTCCATACATCTGAAGCTAATGCATTTTTTTTTATTTGTTTTTCTCTTCTTTTATAGGAAATTTTCCATGAGCATGCCATCCATTTGAGATGCTTGAACGAGCATTATCAATCGAATAGCCTATTGTCATCGAATGTGCCCGAACTAATTAAATCGAACATTTTGAAGTGCTATCGGTCAGCTAGTCGACATGCACCGTACTTTATATATGGTAAACCTGGTACTGGCACATCGGCATTAATTGCCGAACTTTATACGAATGTGACACAATGGTTTGACAGCAATACAAAAGTAAATCGGGTGATACGATTTGCATCGACCACACCACGTTCGGCATACGGTTTAGAATTGTTGCGCGTCATTTGTCAGCAAATTTCCATCATATTCAATATACCCGAAGGTTATCTACCAAAGGATGCATCATTCGATCCCGTTTATATCAATACATGGTTTCAACATTTGATGCGACGTTGCGAAGATTTACGAAATGAAGTGCTCATCCTATTCATCGATGATATGCACAAATTGAATCCATTGGATTGTGATAATGTGTCGGCATTGTCTTGGTTGCCAATTAGTTTACCATGGAATGTCTATTTGATTTGCACGACTAAAGTAGCAACCGATGCATTGCGATTGACGCAAATACAAAAGGAACGATTTAAACAATCGGATTCACTGTACGATCTCAGTGCTGATGCAAATCAAACGGTACTACGAAAATGTCGGACAAACGAAACATTTACCGACTATATTAAACGAAATTTTGACGAACTTGAACGGAATTTTGGTGCTAAGGGTTTCGGACGATTGGCCACGTATTTGACGTGCACCGAATATGGACTTACCGAAACAGAACTATTGGAATTATTGATGCCGATACACAATAGTGAAGCGATTATCGACAGTAGCCAAGGCGATTTTAACTTTTCCACATTTCGTCATATTCGAAATCGAATGAGTAAGTTTATGTGATCAAAAGACATGTAGAGACACACCATCGTGAAAAACATAAAGCACACGAATAAATCGAAATCATCATGTCAGACAAAATTTCAGAAGAACCATCGTGCAAGTGCTATGCGTGTTAAATAATGCATACATATTCCCTTTTAAGTCATTTATCTCTAGTAGCACAAATATTTTTTAAAATTTTCTTATTTTTTTTTTTTTTTTTTTTTTGCTTTTATGGTTTACATTGTTTTTTATTTAACATTCTTTCGGCCATCATATGTTTATCTACTTGATGTAAGCTTTTCGAGTGCACACAGAGATCCGTGTGTTATTATTTCGTATCCGAATGGACAAAGAATAATGAAGACATAACTGAAAAAATGGAATTAGAATTTATTAATGAAAGCGATAAATCATTTATCGATTATTATGATTTGCCGTTTCTGCTTTGTCCATTATGCCCCCCCACAATTCTTTACGCGTCTTATCACTAATGATCAGCTCCATTTTCGAAAAACATCCCATTGAATTCTTTTTATGTTTGACAATCGACGAACACACACAGCAAAAACACCGGGTGGGAAACATACACACAAAAAAGCAATTATATGGCACTTATCAGATAATTTTCCATCTTGAATCAATCACTTTATTGATTTTATTCATCTAGTTTTCCCGCTTTTCTGTACATCTTCTCTCGACGCCGGAATCCGAATGACGTAACAAAACGAAATCAGCTTCACACAGCTATCAAATTAATTGGGGTGAAATTATAGGAAATATTTAATCTGTAACAAGATAAGTGTACGATGTGGGCATGACATTGCATTGCAAATAAATCACCGGAACATGAGAAACGATGACAGAAATACATCGAGAGTGAACAATATATTTTTTTTGTTTTGAACGCGCACATATTAACAATTGTAAGCGATTAATAACTTGATTGCACACACAGTCGGGCATAGCTTTTGATATTTGCTGACAAATCGCATGACGAACACAACCAATCATTTAAATTAATGAACATTAATTGAACGCTCTAGAATAAAAACAACTTATTGTTTGGTCGCATATCGAAACGCGACTCAAATAAAGAACATTGACTTTTTATTTTACAAAATATGTAAGTTTCGTTTTGTGCTGATAACTGGCTACTGTTCTGCCATGTTTTAGTAACAGAATTTTGTTTCGCTTTGATATGCGACGCAGTTTAACGGTATAAATATTTCGCATTTTCGGAGGCTCAGTATAGAACACACAAAAAGTGAAAAAAACTTCTTATTCTCAAATTTCATATACAATCAAATGGCTTGTATCAGCGATTTTTATTGCGTAGTTGTTTTTCAATAGAATGTTGTTTGTAAACAGAATGACATGCATTGAGAAATTTCATGAAAGGGTTAGCTTTGAACAACGATTTGGGTGACAGAAATAGCAAAGTCAATGTTCTTTATTCCTTTGTTAACAAAATATTGTCTCGCTTTGATATGCAACCGTTTTGAGTCTCGTTTCGATATGCGACCAAACAATAAGTTGTTTTTATTCTAGAGCATTCAATTTTTATTTCAACTTTTTTTTTAATTTCTTCAGCTTTTGATACTGATAATATTCTGTATCGTAAAACATTTAAGTACGAGCACACATTTTGCAACACACACACAAATACACACATTCTTCCACATTCTATTCCACATTTCAATCAATCACTGTTTTATATTTTCGTTCTCTTTTTGATAATTTTTCTTTTTTTTCTTTCTTGATGTATTAATGCAGAAGCGATAATTCGTCAGAAAATCATGTCTGGAAAAGTATTGATCGAGTGGAAGCACAGATTGTGCTCGGAATTATCACGACAACGGTATATGGATCATGATATAACGCGAACAGTTCACATTGAAATCGCAAACATTTTCTTCAATCAAGAGCAAGAAGACAGCGACGAAATCTCCAGTGAACATAATAGCGCCGGTAAGTCATATCAGTTAGTCCAGGCGACAGAACTCATTTTTTAAAAGAATGACACGGTTTTTTCGCTACTCTGCTCAATTTTAAATGGGAATTTTCTCACGACAATTCACATTAAACCGCAAACATTTTTGCGCTTAAAACAATTCGCATTTATTTGTTACAGTCTCTTTTTTTTCATTCAGTTGGTTTCTTTTGAGAATGTGTTTAACTAATGAATTGTCTCATTGACTTTAAGGGCGTAACAATCAAGCAACAATCAGACAAAGTAATGGGGTCATTAAGGCGCTGAATGAGCTACAATATCGTATAATGCAATTTTGGGGTGCACAGATTTGTTTTATTCACTTTTTTGGTGAAAACATAGTTAGCATATCTTTGGGGAATCGAAAAACCTCATGAAAAAATACAATTGGACGATATTTTATGTAATTTGAAAGGATAAAATCGAATTGGTAAATTCAGACTCAAATGAATGTATCATTTTTTCGATTAGACACCAAATGTATTTATATCGAATGCTATGTGATACTTCACTCATATCAATTTACTCGTAGCTTTCATTTTCCCCTCCGCTTCCTTTCTAATTTCTTCAAATATGGCAGAATTTGAGTTATAGCTTTGACTGTCCCAAAGCAAACTTTAAAAAGATAAATTGAAACACAAGAACGAAGAGCGTCGGTTGTAATAGTGGCATTGATTTGACGTGTGTGCTGCAGTCGCAACATTCGTGCTGAAAGCACATAATCCATGTGTACCATACTAATTTAATTACAATTTTTCGATGCTACCTCATATAATTATATAATCGAGATGAAACCAACGTGGCTTTCAAATAAAAGGATTATGTTAACCATGTTATATATTATATAAATAGATTAATGTTGTCGAGCCCTGTTTCATGGGGTATCGGTTCAATGACGAAGCACGATAAAATCCAATCAAGTCATTTTTTCGACATTTGTTATTATCGACAATTATCATAGCATCGTTCTTAATGGCTGCATAACAGCTTGCATTTTTTTCTCTATTGATGTTAATGTTTTCTAAATCAAAACCGTTTGATTTATGCGCACACAAAACAAAATATTGCCACATATCTTGGTGCCAAAATATTGCCAATTTTTGGTGTATTTTTATATGAAATGTCCGTGAAAAATTGATTGTATCTTAAAATTGACGACAGATTCGGGTTTTTCATGCCAAAAAACCTATAAAAACAATCAAATGTCCCTCAAATCATAAACCGAATATGGGGGCCGTGAGTAGTGAATCACTACTCACTACTAGTGATTTGAGGGTCATTTATGTAAATAATTGTTAATTATTATCATAAAAGACATTTCATATAGTCAATACTTCAACTGTCTATGGGGGGTGGGGGGCACCCCCCTACATCACCCCCCTTAGCTGCAACTGTCTATGGGGGGACGGGCGGGTCAACAAAAAAACACCCACCGAAGGTAAAGGGTAACGATGCGGAAGCGGGGGGTGGGGGGCGGTAGCCCCCCAAACAAAAAAAAACACCAACCAAAGAGAAAGCGGGGGGTGGGGGCGGCAGATCCCCAAACAAAAAAAAATATACCCACAAAATATAATTTTTTTTTTTTTTTTTTTTTTCTTGTTAACGGACTATAATCACCGCGTGAAACGATGAATGTGTAGCCCTTATATACTTCCGCCATATTTTCTGCTTTTCTGAGCGATCCCAATTTAATGTGATATGTAAACTATATACGAATAATTCCACAAACAACTAAAATCGAAACACCTTGAGTAACAACATCCTTATCAAGGGCATCAATTTTCACAGAAAGATTGCCATAAAGTTCTTTGGAAGATTACCACGATGAAACAATACAAATAGATATGCAACCAATTTGAATTGACTTTTTGGAAATTGTCTTTTGGAAATATTCGTCAATGGAATGAAAATAGTATTTTGTTGAAATAAAAACCTTTAAAAAACACATATACGGAATATGCTAGAATAAGTCAATACTCTACAGCAGAATGAGAGAGAAAATCTCTACTCATAATTTATTCAGATAATGTTATTTGGTTTCAAAGCGAAAAAGTCAAATACCAAATCTGTCGGCTCATTCATGAGAATTTATACGTACGCATACGTGTGTATTATGATAATCGAAAATTATCTACTTCATTTCCAATTCAATTTTCGGAACAAAGCACATGAGTTCATCTGAAGATCATATTTGCGATTGTAATCAATGTGTGTGAGAGCCTTTTGCAAAAGCGATTGCAAAAGAGATAGAGGCGATATTAGAAATAGAATTTCACGGTGAAGAAATCAGTTGTGTATTCGTTCGATATACAGTATGGTGCTTATGCCAATTTTTAGACTAAAAGACAAACACAAATTTCAAACGCATGTATGGAGATCATTGCTTTATCAATCAATCGATGAACAAAGAAAAAAAATCACTGATGCAATCGAAAACAAAGCAACCATGATTTGCTTTCTTACCACAAACAATACAGATTTATCAGAGCCAAATTATGAAATGTTTGCTTGAATTGGATGAATTGATTATGTATAATGTGTTCAATTATCGTTTTCGTCATGACATCTTCCATTTCATTGAAAAAATAAAATCATTTTTTTCTCGTAATCAATTCTTTTCTATACCATTTTCTGATTTTCTACTTTATGGTATTTTCGCGTGTGGCACTTTTCGGATTTGTCGTGATAATCGAATGACTGTTATGTAAATGTGGAATAATGAACGTGGTTGAATACATTTTCCATATATGAAACAATGGTACAACCTCATCGAATATGTGTCACACTGCTGCACAATGCATAATCTTGACGATCAAATTCAACAAAATGGCAGATAATCCAAGCGATTCGGTGAGCAAATTGTACAATCCATCGGGCGTTGACGTTTCATATAGTACGCGTCATGTGGAAGAATCTTGGCATCATCTGATGAAATCGGAGGATACGCAAAAATTCAAACAAATTGCCGTTTGTAATTTTGATTTTCTATTGGCATCGGTAAGTAATACAATATCAATCACAATTATTATCAAACGTTCTTATTTAATTCATAATTTTGGTTCATCATTTGATTTAGTATGTTGTTGAAATTATTTTGTTGCTTCTGAAAAAATGAAAAAAAAAATAAAACCAGAAGCAAGAAAAACTATGTACTCAAATGTTTGCAGCCAGTAAAACAGTAAAAGACACATACCATGTCAATTGATTGTGTGATGGAAATAGCATATAATGTAAATAAAAGCTCGAAAAGTAGAAAGATAGATAGAAGTGGATTTTCTCCAAGAAAGAAACACAAGAAAATAGAGAATGAATGGATTTTCAGCGAAAGCAAGCGAATAAATTTAAAATACTACACAACACCAAATGCATTGACTTTTTTGTCAGCGAGAGAGAGAGAGAGAGAGTTTAGTAGAGACAGAGGAAGTGAATGATGATGAGAATGATCACGAGTAAGTGTTAGACATACTGTAGATTCTATTTGCGACCAGATATTCACCCGAAATACATAGACTGTGGAATTCCATTGCATTATTCAACCGACAGTGTCAGTGACAAAGCGCGCGCGAAAATTTTATACGAGTGAATGAAGTCGACTAAAAAAAAAATAAACTTGATGAAAACAAGTTCGCATATCGTTGAGTTGATAGACAAGATGAACTAAAAATAAAACGCAAAAAAAGATGCAGAGAGGAAATGACTCCATTAACTTCTCAAATGAATCTGAACGACCGAATCAACGGACGTTCAGCAGTTTGTTTATCCTTTGAATGGCGGCAATGAGTAAACAAGTTTTTCCTGCGTTAATATTGTTGGAAAAACCGAACTGAGAGAACAGAAACTATGGTACCGAATGTTTGTTATGTAGTTGACTTTGCATTATGTCTAAGCCAATATTTTCCAAATGTGTTTATGTGCACTCTACGTTTTTGTTGCTGCCGTTTTCTTTTTCATTTTATTTCAGTACTTATCGTTTGGATAACTTTTGATTTCTCTCTCTTTTTTTTTCATTTCAACAATGTTGCGTTTTTCTTCGTTGTCGTTGTTTTGTGTGCCATTTTTCTATCACTTTACAGTCTTAGGGGGTTAGAATTGATATAGAACGATGTAATAGTCAACATCAATAAATGAAATAAATTGATGGAAATTTGCTTGAAAATCCAAGCAATAAAGTGGATATCGAAGTAATAAATAATTTCATCTGTTTTGTCTTTCTTTCTTTTTATTGGTTTTTATATCGTGTTTGTATGCCCAACAACAAATACACTATTGTGATGTGGATCCTGTTTTAAAAAAATACGACCAAAAACCACTTCGTCATCATTTGTCGCAATACAATCACACAACGAATCGTTCACTTTTGGATTGGTTAAACATCGATAAATATTGGAAACATATTGCAATGAATCAACGACGATGACTATTGATATATGATTTGCTCAACATTATAATTTGATTCGATTTGAACATTTTCACCGCGATGTATTTGCGCGCCTACATCGTTCGATGCATACATAACTTGCAATTCCAACTCACGCATAAAATCAATGGATGATTGCCAATTTGGGGGTACGAAAACAGGTTCAAACCGTCTCAATTAGCTATTTGAGATGTCTGATCGAACATGTGCGATGCTATATTCTAGATCGCGATATTGAATTGGTTTATTACACAATTCGAAAATCAAGTGATGTGCTAACAAGGGATCCCATGCAATTAGGCGCTCAGGTAAAATTGATTTGATGACATTTTTATTCATTCATTTATCAAAGCCACTTGGCTCACATATTGTTTGTCTTTGGATGTCTGACTTCTTAAATGGCTGTTTTATTCTCTTAACGACAATAAAAAGGGAGATAGAGAGAGAAAAAAACGAGAGCACAAGCAATACGATTAAGATTCAATTTAATCACACTTAAATGTGATTTTTATTTGTCGCGTAACATTTTCGGTATGAGAGGCGTATTATCGCATTTTGTATATGTATGACATAGTCATTGACACGGAAAATTAAGCCAGACACTCCAGTTTCAAACTTATTATAGAATGACACAATAACATAAGCACTAAAGGTAATAAAATGACATTCTACGCTATTTCGTCGTCGTTGTGATAACAACAATAACAGATTTGATGCGATAATAAACATTGCTACTATATTGTTTGTTTGTTTCTTTTTTGTGTGTTTTTTTTTTCCAACATCATCGACTTTGTTGTCGCCACCTTGTTTTTTCCACCACATCTCACTGGCATTTTGGTAAATAACGCGACCGCTCCTGTAAACAACAGCTAATTTCATGGCTACGTCCGATATCAGAACATGATGAAAATGACACATCTTTACTCAGCATCACTGTTCGTTCAGCAACCGCATGGTAAACAATTGAAACCAAGCATTGTTGTTGGTCTCTCTTTTTTTATTTTTCAGTTGTTTGCCTCAATTTCTTTTGTTCATTCATGCAGGTACTTTTTATCTTTTATGTTTCGTTAATTTTCCGAGGCAACAACGTTGTTATTGCTTTTTTTGTATTCTTGCATATCGGAATTCCTTATCAACGGAAAATGTGTTTATTATTCTTTTATATTGTTTTATTGCAGGTGTGATGGAATCACTTCAGTTCCACTACTGGTTCCACTTACTGGCTGGCTTCCGTACCCTCTTCCATCTCAAGTAAATAAGCACATGTGCACTTACCACATCGATTCAATGAAATATATATTTATCGATGTTTCGTTCTCATCTCACATTAGATTCGAACAATGACAGTTTCAGGCACTGGCGCAATACGTTCAATCGTGATGGCACCATCAAAGCAACATTTAGTTATTGCACCTCAAGTTGGCGACGCTCAATTATGGCATATCATGAGCAATAGCATAGTTCACACATTCAAAGGTATGACCTTCCGAAACGGCACCAACCATTTCTTAGTACACATTTCATATACGAATTGAAAATAGATTATTATTTGAAAATAATGCCACAAACAACAATGAATCGAACTGGACAAAAAAAAAACATTCCGCAGAGCGAAAAAAATACAACAAGAAACTCCAATCACATTTAATTGTAATCGAAGAAAATTGAATCACATTCCATTGATAAAACCGCACACACATACCTACACGTTTACAACATTCGGATTTTCACCAATATTCGAGATTTTATTTGCTTGCCCAATCCGAATTGAAAAGCATTTCACAATCAGTATAACATTGTTGCAAATGCTAACATACACCGTAGACTAACGCATTCGATGTTTATTCGAATTTGGTCAATTCATTCTTGTTGCCATGCTGTATTTTCGAATGTACAAAAATTCCGGTAGCTTTTCGGGTGGAGGTTTCGCTTTTTATTCTTTTCCGTCAAGGGGCATCCTTTCTTCAATCAATGGCAACTGAAAAATAATAATAAATTTCAAAAATAATGTCCGAAACGCTTCACAACCCAAATAGCTCGACAACTCTTCGCAATCTATATTGGATACTCTTCCGTTGATACAGCAATGTTCAATTTATTTGGTTTACAAATTTGATTTATCTACAAGCGAAAATTGACTTGTTTACTTTTCCACTGTGCACCGGTATTCTATCCTTATCAACAGTGTTCTACGAGGGTCACTATTTAAGTTTTTTCAAAAACATATATAAGACAATGGGGTTTCATCGAAAATGGTTTTATTGTTTTTCAAAATATTCGCCATGATGATCAATACACTTTTGCATTCGCTCGAACCATTTGTCATAGCATTCATGCCACTCCGAAAGTGATATCTCCAAAACGTGTGTTTTGAACGCATCAACTGCTTCTTCGGGCGATGAAAATCGTTGACCACGCAGTTTATTCTTCACGCTCGGGAATAAAAAGAAAAAGTTGGGTGCCAAATCAGGACTGTACGGCGGATGACCCATTAAATCGATCTTTTGACCGGTCAAATAATCGACTGTTTGATGAGATGTGTGAGAGCTCGCATTATCATGATGAAGAATTATTTTGCGACGGCGGTTGTTTTTTCTTATTTCATCAAACACTTCGGGCAAACAAATGGTGGTGTACCAATCAGAATTGACGGTCTTACGATCCTCTAGTGGAACTGTTGCCACATGACCATTTCTCCCGAAAAAACAGGCGACCATTTGCTTCGAAGTGCTTCTTGCTCGAACAACTTTTGTTGGGTTATCTTCACTTTGAAAGACCCATACAGTCGACTGCTGTTTAGTTTCGGGCTCATACGCGTAGATCCATGATTCGCCACCAGTGACGATAAAATACACGGATTTTGAAACACCACGATTGAATTTCTTGAGCATTTGTTTACACCAATCGACACGAGCCTTTTTTTGAGCGATTGTCAAATTATGTGGTATCCAACGAGAGCAAATCTTTCTGACAGCTAAATGTTCATGTAAAATCTTAAATACGCTGGTCGCACTAATGCCCAGGGATGCCTCAATATCGTGATATGTTACATGACGATCTTCCATTATCATATTTCTGACAGCATCGATATTTTCTGGTACAACAACTGATTTTGGACGACCTTCGCGGAACTCGTCGATGACCGATAGGCGACCGCGCTTGAATTCGTTGTACCAATTATAAATTGTCCGAAGACTTGGTACTTCATCGCCAAAGGCCAAATGAAGTTGATCAAAACACTGTTGTTGTGATACACCCAATCGAAAGTGGAAAAAAATAATCGCTCGAAAATTTTCACGAGTAAAATTCATTTTTTGGCTGAGACGCAATTTACATGTTACGGTAAACAATACAAATAACGATCGAATGACAAAACGTTCTGAGAACGTTTATGCTACAAAATGTTAAACTTAACGAATATGACAATGGTTTGCATCGGGCAATACTAAAACATACATATTGAAGAAACTTAAATAGTTGCAATCCCCTTGATTCGTTTCATTGTAATTCAAGAGCTGTTTCAAATTGCCTTGGCCAAGATCAATTCCAAGTAGCATTTGGTACCATCTCTAGTTTATTTCCTCTTTTCAAATTACAACAAGTTAGTACTTATCTGAATTTATCGACTCCATGGCAATCGTTCGTTCAACTGAAACATGTGTGTGTGTGTGTGTGTGTGTGTGTGTGTGTGTGTGCATGTGTGCATTGATGGTATTTCAGTAGTTAAAGTTTGAAATTGTCCATTGTTATAGGCAAAGGCAATGCCAATGTTTAAAATGATAACATGTATATAAGCCAAGATATGATTTTAAGTTATGGTTCATTGATTCGTAGAATGTGCATTGGATTTTTGATGGTCGACGTGCGGCGATGTGATTTCGTTTTTTTTTTTGTTATTGTTTGGAAATAGTTATTTTTATACATCATCTATTTATGTTTTTCATATTCGTTGCATACAGGTCACAATGGAGCTATTACGTCGATGATTGTCCCACAGCAATCACAATATCTCTTAACTGGATCCGAAGACACATCGATCATTGTATGGGATATGAAAACATTGTGTATGAAATTAAGAATTAGGTATGTAATAATAATTTTAAAAAAATAATTTTGTGAATCGTTGCTTGTGCACAGATAGTTGTCATGCTACCCATTTTTTTTTTCAATTTGCGAAATTTCAACTCTCTATATTTAGCTTGAATAATTCTGATAAACAAGCCAATTATGTGCTTAACTTACAACAACAAAAATCACATTCATCATATGTTACGTGAATTGCATGTCACACATACTCTCTCTCTCTCTCTCTCTCTCTCTCTCTCTCTCTCTCTGTTCACAATAACCGAGTGCCGTATGTATACGTTAGTTTCATGAGGATTTTATTTATGCTGAACAAAATATTGTTCCCATTAGAATTATACGGTATGATGTGTGCAATAAACTGAACAACAATTTTTGTCTTTCTATTTCGTGCGCGCAACGAATTCATTGCGATTTTGATTGTATTTTTTTCTGTCATTTGTCTAACATTCTGCTTTATACTTGACGAAATGGCACACATGTGTGTATAGACATTTTGTGCTCGCTTTCGTACGGAATACGATATATTTATGATTTGTTTGTACGATGGCAACTCATAAAATACCCGCACATTGTGCAACATTCACATTTCGGTTGTGCCGTCAATTACATATATTAATAATTTTCCACTTTCAGGGAACATATTGCGCCTGTAATTTGTGTTACTTCGGCTATGGATAATACTATTATCATAAGTGGTAGCGAGGATTCCAGCATTATACTATCGTCATTTTCAACGGGAAAATTGGTATGCGCTACTTTTTTACATACATTATGCTTTTTTCTGTCATTCACTATTTGCGAATTTCACGTGCATATTTTTTTTTATTCATTCTTTCCACATTGATTACTCTCATTATTTATTATTCGACATGTGAATTTCATGGTTGCAAGTCGAGCATAGTTCTATGAATTTTTAAAGAAGTAATTAATATTGAAGGATTTCTATGGCATATATCAATTTAGAACATTGCCAAGGAAATTTGTAAATGGTTGCAAATGAGCCAAATCAAGCACACATACATTGTGTTTGTACAACGATCATAATCTATTTTAACCAATATAATCCAATTATTAAGTTGTTGTCGTTAAAGTGATTCGATATGCAAACAAATGGAGAAAAATTTACATTTTATGCGGGTGATTAATTGAAGTCATCAAATTTTGAACGAAAACAATTTCGAAAATTATGATGAAAGTTAAACATCATTTTAAGCCAGCAAGATGGTAAACAATGGAATGTTTGTTGCTGTCAACAGAATGGAAAATTATCGCTCTATGAAATCGCAGATTAATTTGCGGTATGCATATGTGGCACGCATTCAAGGGGTTATTTTATCAGAGTTTTTGATAAGCCAATAAAGATGATGTGTGAGCATGAACGAGAGCCCGAGGGAAAAGAGGGGAGGGAGAGAGAAACAAAATAAAAGGAATGAACAAGTTTACGAGAGAATGTTTATCACCATAGTTTTTATAATACGAAAAATACGATGAAACACCCATCTAAAGCACTTAAACTATAAAATGAGAATTTTTGCTCATTACTTTCTTGGGGTCCGCATGCATTCATATAAAATATAAAAGCCATAATTTTGTGCCATTGTAATAACGTCTTAATTCGAATTAAATGTAAAATCATGAAAATACTTAACGATTTTTCCGAAAAGATCGTGAATGAGGGACACACAGACAGACAGACAGACAGAGAGAGAGAGAGAGAGAGAGAGAGAGAGAGAAGGGGGAAAAGCATTTAAGCCAGGTGTGTTGTAAAAGTAATCGTAAAAGATGATGCCAAAAAGAACTTCTTAACGAATCTAGCCCCAGCCCACTTCATCTCCCACTTTTTATCTCCAACGAAACGATGCCAATTTTATAAATATTTTTCCACTATTAAAAATTTTGTGCCAGCCAAGATGGAGCGAATAAAGTGTTTTGTGTTTGCGATGAGACAATAACAAAAAGAAAACAGTTGGGCGTGCTCTATAAAATCATCTCACAAGCTAGCGAGTTTGTCGTTCGTTTGCAATAAAATACACTTTATGAGATTTAAGCAACAACAAAAATTCCCACTCGCCCATCGCACACAATATTGTGCACATTATTTCCCAAGACTCTGGATAATATGCGTATAAGAGAAAGATAGACAAAAGGAAACCAATTCAGTGGAGATGAATACGGATAAATTGTGTTATTTTCAAGATTCACTTGGGGTTTTTGTTTTCGTTTGCTTTTTGATTTTTATACAGAAATTCATCGCAAATTATTTTTGATTGTAATTAAAGATTCATTAAGCGATCATTTTTTCAAGAGCCTCATGAGAAAACGTGGAAATATTAATTAAATCACCTTTACCTCATCTTTGCGCACATTTCAAGAGTATACAGAGTGTGCATGTGGTTCAAGAGGTATTCAAGCATTTTGCACAGATTTCACATAAATTTAATTGAATAACCAAAATACGAGCATTTACGTAATATTCACATAATCACAACCATTTTTAGAGAGCTGGAGCTTGTCCAATTCCATAAATTAAATTTCAATGCGCTGAATTTAATCGTTTTTAAAATCAATTGTTCTTTTGAACAAACATTGACAATCCACCAAATATCTATCGCCTGTTGTACTTTGCAACTCAGCTGCAACCCGTTTCGGTAATAATTTATCAATGATATGTTGGGCGCTGTTGTGTGAACAAAATCAGTGAGAGGACACTGTAAAAACTTCGGTTACGTAAATGACAACTGAAAGTTTTCACATTCTTATTGTGATTTGTCACAATATTTGGACAAAAAATGTTGCACCAATCACAAAAAGCATAATGACAGTTGTCATTTACATAGTCCATTGTGCACAAAATTGAAGTGAAAGAGCCAATAAATCAAAATAATGCATATTCAGGAGGTGTTTCTGCACATCGATTTTTAAAATGCCAAAATTAAGTTGTAGTATTAGCTGAATTAATGGGAAATATGGCTATAAATCAATAGACTCCAAGACATGTCATTCGGTGTGTTTAACACTCTCCTTAAATTTAAGCCGAAAAACACCACGTAACCGAAAATGTGTCGTTTATCCAATATAAATGCCAGCTAACGAACTGACAGCTTGGCATTTCAATTGTATAATTCAAGTGGATTCATTTGAATTTATTGCTATTTGGTTATATCAATGCGTGCCAAGCATTTTCATCGATTGGCCAGTAATAAAAAAAATCGTCAACATCGCATTCGCGTACAGTGGCAATTATTTCCTGAATATCGTCCAATTTAATTTAAGCCTCTTTTTCTCCACGTTTTCTGACTGTATTGCAAGGCAATATGCCATTGCAACTGACAAACAGTTGTCACGTTTTGTTGAAGGCGTGCATTTGTCATTCAAACATTTTCCCCAATCGATGTGATAGTAACAAAAAGTTTTTTTTTTTTTTTTCAAAAATTCGACCAACAAATGTCGATAGTCGATATATTAAAAGCATTGTATGTATGATAGCTTTGACGAATTAATTGAAATACTATTCCCGAATGAAGAGCGATTCTACACATTTTTATACAAAACTATTCTATGGATCCAACGTTTGTTAAAACAAAAAATAGAGATAAATATTGAGAGAATAGAGAGAATGAGAGCTTTTAATAATGAATGCCAACAAAGAGAATATGATTGATTTTTCTCTATACCGGAAGTGTGTCGGCTGCTCACTCTTTTCCTCTCTCATAGTTTCCACAAAATATCATATCGAAAATTCAACCATTAACCACATCCCACTCATGTTCTCTACTGCGACCAATATTTATCGTGAAAAATGACGATGTTTTTGTTTTTGTATTTAATGTTTATTTCTCGCTTTTGTTGTCTTGTTTGAAAAATAAATAAATAAATAAATGAAATATTTTGGTTTTCATTGTATTTCAATATTGCGGTATGCGCACATTTTGTGGTGTCCTTTTAAATAATGATGATATCCACGACATCAACGATGCAGATAACAAAAATTGATCATCATCGTGGTCCGGTGAGCGGTTTGCAAGTGAGCCATGTTAGTGACGTATTGGTTTCATCGAGTCATGATGCAAGCGTTTGCCTTTGGTCATTGGATGATTTCACATTGTTGAACACTATACAACTCAATAGCCCAATATTAAATATTCAAATATCCAGCGATTCGGTAAGTACAAAGATTTTAAATTTTGTTTTTAGTTCAGCTTATGGGCAGCCACATGGTTGTGGTAAAAATGAGCGCACTTAGTTATACAAATGATGAAAATAGATATGCATGACATGTTCATATTTTTTTTTTTTCGGAAATGATAATGTGTTTCACGAAAATGATGAGAGCCACATTTTGGCATAATTGAATTTAAAAAGAAGAAAAATCCATAGCATACCCATTTATTTTTGCGAATTGTTTATATTATTACACGTTGCCTGAAAATGGCAGCATGATTAGAATCAATTCTGAAATTGCATACATAATGTGTAAACAACTGCAACTACAATTTTGACGCGCAAACAAATCTGGTTTTACACCTCGTCTAAGCTGATTTGAATGATCAATGTGGCTAATTGAATATGCAAACTAAGAGAAAATTATTTATGCACAATTCGCAACATTTTGTATGCATCCAGCGCACTGTGATTTTCACAAGTCGTGTACATATAACCATACCACCTAGGGGATAACCATGAATTGCAGATCGAATAAATTATAATAATAAAAGCTATTTCTCTCTATTTTTCACTAATTCTGCTAGTATTTCTACTAGTTTGTTCTAATACTGCTATTTTTTGCTAATTTTTCTAGTACGTCAAAAATATTGCATACGTCAGATTGACTGCATGATCGAATAACCGAAATGTGTTTATGTAAATGTTTCAAGTTGACACTTTCAACGTGTATATTTGAAGCAGGCACTAGCGTATACGTTTTCAGTAAGAAATCTGTCATCAAATCTACATTTCCGATTGAAATTCGTAAATTGTAGTTAATACAGATGGAACGTGCTTGGTTACGTGCCACTGAATATATTTTTATTTAAAAATGGGAAAAAGCGTATTCAACTACATATTTTGATACATTTTAGTTCAACACTATTCAATTCGTTTGTTTTGTGAATTTTATTTTAATTAATTATTTCATACCGCTCTTCACCCTGCGTGTAACTGCTATGGATGCACATCGCACATCGTTCCAAATAATAATGGGATATTGTTAGTGTGTGAATGATACGAATAGTTACCGTTCGTAAATGTCGGCGAACTTTGTCGCTAATGATGAACAAAATATTATGAAAAACACTTGGAAAATACGCATAAACCTAATACAGACATACTACAATAGTATATATAACATGTAAAATATGGATCGTGCAATGATGAACAACGTGCCTTAGAAAGAGATGAATGTCAGTTTTTCAGTTTTTGTTGTGATGATTTTGTTCGCTGACTTGGAAGAAGTTGAATAAAATGATGTGCTACAACAAAATGTACGTAAATTTCATGCAATGTGTGTCTGACACTGTGCGCATAGAGAAAGAAAGAAAGAAAGAGAGAGAAATTAAAAATGAATTAAGGTGAATGGTATAGATCTTTATTTTATTTCACGTGTTTTTGAGAGCGTGCGTCAATTTGCAGGTGTTCAATATCACATCTTACTAACTAATCCTATTAGATGTTATACTATTTCCAACATTGCTGCTGTTGCGACTGCTGTGATTGTTGCAAATTTACTTTCAGCTTCTTTTTTTCACTCAGTTCGTTCGTTTGTGCAGCACAACAACAAAGTTGATGACAAAGTGACAATGTAAAAATACATTCTTTTTCGCGCATATAACACAGGATAAAATAAATTTGCTTTGAGAGCGTTTTAATTTTTGCTATGTGTATTTGTCCCTTTATGCATTACATGTGTTGTTTTTTATTACTTTTGCATTCAACAGGTATTCTTATTGGCATATTGTAAAGATAATGGACTTTATTTGCGAACATTGGCAACTGGCACCGAATTGCACAGTCTTAAAGGACACAAATCAAAGGTAAACGATATGTTATCAAAAAATAGCGAGAAAATGCAATGTGAAAGACTTTCGCCAGCGCGTACAATTGAAATCGCATCGGATCGTATACGCGCGAATGACAAATGACATTCACATAGCGTACGCGCCATGAAATTCAATCAATGTTCATGTTCAATAACACATAATCCGAAAAACACAATGCTTTCAGTTTTTCGAAGCGAAAACGAAAGAAACAGAAATAAAATAAACGATTTCAATTCAGTGGCATTGTTTACGTGCGCATCTAACCACGTGCGCATCCACACAATATGTTCAAGAATATAATCGTTAAATATATCGAAAAATTCAATAGATAAAGTGGAATTTAACCGCAACATACATTGCTTTATATATATATTTAAAAAAAATGTATTTCAAGTAGTAATTTCTTTGTGCGCTTGTTCTCCTTCGACTCGATAAAATCGTTAGGTACGTGCCATTACCATGGCGATGGACAGTCAACGTGCAATTGTCGGTTGTGATGATACGCGCGCATTAATATTCGATATGCATTCCGGTCGATTAATTCGTTCACTGCCGCCGAATCCAGGCCCAGTGACAGCGTTATACGTATCTAAAATGGACGACTTCCTAATCACAGCAGGTCAGCTATTATCGTTTCAAATTCATAAACGTGCGTATGCGTGTTACTCATTCTGAATGAATGACATTGACATACAAAAAAAAAAAAACACAATCATTTCATTGTCGTTGTTGTTGTTTTTTATTTCTCTCGTTCGGTCAAATTCAAAGGCGGAAACAAAATCACATTTTACTCGTTTCGAAATGAAGAGCCACGGCCGTATCCTCGTCGAAATCCAAAAGGGAAGCCATTGCGTCAGATGTCACATTCACAACGTGCCATCATCAGTGCGTCACAGCCAGCCTCTTGTTTTGATATTTCAAGAGATTCACAATTGTCGGCCATTGCATCCGGACGATCAATTCAAATTTGGCAAATAAATGTGCCACAAATGACACAAAACTTTGATGGGCATACGGGTGCTGTAACATGTGTCAGTTTTTCACCGAACAGCGAATTTTTCGCATCGGGCGCTGAAGACAAAACGGTTATCGTTTGGAATTTGGTATTCAGTTTAGTTGTTACCACATTTAAGGTAAGCTCATTTTCATCTTCAAATTTTATTATTATGCATGCATTTATTTAACTGGCATGTAAACGATAAACGCTTGACGACTTCTTTCCAAAAGATGAACTATCTAATTCGATAATTTGCGGCCACCAAATTTCGTGCGTGAATTATGTTGTAAATGTTGGTTTAGTGTGTCGTTGTTCACTGTCACCGTTTTTTAAATAACCGTTCATATCATTTTCTTTTATTTTGTAATTTCATTGGTTTCTTTCATTACTGTATCACCACAAAAAAGGGTCATAATGCTGCCATTCAGTGTTTAACCGTTATGATGGATTCGCGTCGCATAATCTCAGCCGACCGAGATGGTTTACTTTGCGTATGGTTGGCCGAATCAGGAACTTTACTTCAAACAATACAGGGACCATATAAAAGCCTCGCGGCAACAAACAATATGAAATTTGGGGTAAGTACACGGTGCGAAGCACCACACCATTAACTAACCATCACATTCCATTCCAAAATTTCATTTTACGACGAGGACGAGCCGTCATTTTAATCAAAAGCATTCCGTTTGCGCAAAAATATGACACACTCGAAATCAATTATGGATTGTGATACCTTTGGAATATGAACCATCTCTTAAGTCTTAACCTGACAGCGGCGTAAGATATAACGAAGTATAATTTTGATCACCGAAAAAAAAGAAAAAAAAAGAGAATTTTAGTGGTAAATAATTTTAACGAGAACCATATTCATTTTACATCTCGAGGGTAAAAGTCATAAAAGGCGGAATGGTTTTTTACATCATTTTTTTTTATCTTTCGTATGATTTACTAGTTTTAACAGCAAAACTTCCCAATGCCATAAATATGACACATAAAATGGCAAGGCTTAAATCTTGACTTCTTCTTCTGCAGACTTTGCATACATCTTGTCTTGCGTGCAGCTCGAACATTGGAAAATCAAAAAGATACATTTTTCATTTGATTTCATGCGTATGGTGTGCTTTTGTTCATTGTAGGAATGCTTTACCTCAATTTTTGATTACATTCATTAAGTTAATTTCCGCCCTTGAATGCAATTAAAATTTATGAGAGTTGCTGGTATGTGCGTAAAAGTTTTATTTTAAAAGTTGGCACACATACACAATTACACATATACCAATACCGGAAGCAAACTTTCCTTCCACAAACTCGTATGTTACTCGCTTTCATTGCCACTTCTTTCGCTAGTTCATCTATACGTGTGTTCATCTAAATATCATTACTATCATCATAAAATTTGAATTTGATTTAAAATTGTTATTTAATATCGAATTAATGTACGTTTACTTTGGCAATATAGGTTTGTACAAATGGTGATACGATTTTGAAAATTTGGTCATTAACTCGCGAAAATGAGATTTATTCGGTATCACATTCGGGCGAAATTACATGCTTTGTCATAACCGTTGATTCATTATTTGTGATAACCGGATCGCGTGATATGTCATTGAAAGTTTGGCAAGCAACCGGTGGTAAATTAGCTCAAGTATTGGTTGGTCATAGTGATGCCGTAACATGTGTTGCTGTTTCGGTTGCAAATAAAACCCAAGTGATTTCCGGTTCAAAAGATTGTAATTTAATTGTATGGGATATTCATACGGGCGAAGAGATTCATACGTTAGCCGGACATTTGGCGCAAGTAACATGTGTTAAAATATCGGCCGATGGTACAACAGCTGTATCGGGTAGCGATGATAAGGTCTTAATTGTATGGGAAACAAAACGTGGATTAGCGTTAACATCATTACAATTGCATGTGCCATTCATTCGGTTCGACATTAGTTTAGAATGTTCACGGGTTTTGGTGCATATTGTCGATAGTCCAATATTGCCAGTGATTTGTTTGCACAACACTCCAGCCAGTTACATTAAATTACCCACTTATTCAGCGCCCGCACAAGATGTTGAAGGTATAAAATAGACATTTAGCGAAACAAAAATCAAATTTATCGATATCGTGAATGAATACCATATTCATTTGGGCGTTTATTGATTTTCATTGGTGTTTGCATAGATTTACGACCGGCCGGACCCAAACGACAAATGCGTCGATTATTAAAGAAGGAGGTATCGCTAGACACATACACATGGCAAAAGAAATATGGCCATTTGACGAGTTCAGTGATGATGGCACAAGTCGATGAACGGCTTAAGCGACGATTCAGCGTTAGTGCATCGATGGAAGAGATATCAAAGATAGCCGAAATGAAAACACTTGCATCGCAAACATCGCTGGGACCGGAACAGGCTGCACTCGCTCAATCACAACATTTCGATCAACTTGAAGCTCTTTGGAACAAACGATCGCCACCACGACGACGAAACAATGCGGTTAGTGTTATATTTATTTGTATTTATATTGAAATTAAAAACAATATTTTTTCATAATAAAAAATGTCTATTTCTTAAAAAAATATGTAACAATAGTCATTGTCAAGACAAACGTCTTTGGTTGAAGATCGAATCGACGATTCCGATGAAGATGAATTTCAAGAGGAACGATCAGGTATGTGTAAAAAACGGAATAGTCATAAGATCACATAGCGACGCAATGCATCATATCATGTGATGAAGCAGTAATGACGCTTCTATCTAATCTATTCAGTTAATGTCTTTTAGTTCATATATAAAAAAATGTAAAGAATGACAATTAAGCGAAAAAACTATATGCGAAACCATAAAAACTATTAAATAAATTAAAATAAAATAAAAACCGTACCATTTCTTATTGTTGTTGTTGTTGTGTTGTTGTTTCTATTTTTCTTTTTAAAATCATCGTGTTACATTTTCTACATTGCGTTTGTGCAAAACAATGAAGTTTATTGAAATGTGTCTTCCCGTTTTATTTGTTTATTTACAGATGTGATTTAAATGTTATAACGCATGACCAAAATAAGATGACTAACCTCGAAATCGTAATAACTAATTGGCTACTAATTACTTTAGCTGCTCGACTGCATTTCATCATCACTTACAAATATACACTATTTACACACGCTAATTTGGAAAAAAAAATCAACAAAAACAAGACATCATTTATTGAACAAATTCCTAGACAAATTAAGCGATTTTAACCACAGAATGTATTTATTATAAAAAATGACCACAAATTTGCACGATTTTCAATCAAAATCAGGAATTGAATTTTAAACACGAATGAAAAATTCACCACACACATGCACATGCATTAAAAGGATTTAATTATTTCGAATAAACAACATTGAAAAGACACACACAATATATCTATAGACAAATCATAATGCACACACGTAATTTGTTAGAAATTCTATTGTAAAAATTAGTGAGAGAGAAAAAAATTAAAAAAAGCATCCAATGTAAAATAATTATAATTAATATAACAATAGCTGCAGAGGTTAAATGTTTTAAACAATTTTATTAGTGTTAACGATAATCTTGTATCTATTTGAATGGATAATTTTATTAGCAAACACAAGGGAAGTGGAACATCGAACAGAATATAAACGCTAAGTTACGTACTTACGTGCTTATAGCATGAGAAACAATTAAATACCGCATCGTATATAAACATACATAAATTGTAACAACACAATTAATCAGTACCATCAAAGCACGATTTATGATCGACCATATGCACCTGAATCTCGATTGCGATATCAACCCGTAGATCATAGCTGTGAATGGTAGTGGATTTTGATAATGGCCATCAATAGAGCAATCAAAATAAAAAAAGAAATTAGAATTTTAACACAATATAAATATACGAGCACGAACAAAAATGCCCTATACCGCTCATTCATACCCAACTATTAGTCCATGGCTATTCCGCATACATAAAATTCAATAGATATTCATCACGAACTGGTTAAAATAATAGCATAGTTCTCTCTCCCGTTCTCCATATCATTCGTGTCCTGAATGGAAATGAAAATCAATTTTAATTAGAACATTTAATCCAATTAAAATGTGAAAGTGAATGAGACTGAGAAAAAGCGAGAATGCAATGTGAGATAGTATATTACTTGGTGTTCGTGAACAAAGTCGAAGAGGAGTAAAACAATAAATATCGAAAAATTAATAGTTTTACAGATTTACCGGTGTCCGTGCGTGTCTAGAACGTGTCTCTGACTGTATACATACATAGTGGCTATTAGCCACAATACACTTGGGCGGAGGCGCATTGCAGCCAAAGCCAGATGGAATGTGTAATAGTTTTGCTTGAGCGATTACATAATGGTAACAATGTGGACTTACTATAATCTTTACTGATGCATTGGATCGCGTTTATATTAAGGCGCACATAGTGTAACAGTGGAATAGAGAGGGATAGAGAAAGAGATAGTATAAAGGCGTATGCAATTGTGTGAATGTGAGCAAAAAAGGAAAATTTTCGCGAACGACAATGAAATCCATGCACATCGAGCTATTAATTTGCGGTGTGATCAGTTTATATGAATATGTACGACATGGGAATTGAGTGCGCCCTCTTATACACATATGCCATCATTTATTATTAATCCAAATATACGGTGTACAGTGCCGTTCACATTTAATTATAATTATAATTGAATACACGCACGTGTTTGCGTATTCATCGTACATAAACGCATTGGCCATTGGGAAAACGCACCGGCGTGCGTGGCACTGTGAAAGAGAAATAGATAGATAAAGAAAAGAGTACGGATGGAATTGAACAATCGGCTGTATTCACAGCTCTCAATAGGAGTAATTTAGATTTATCATCATATTACCAAGGGCCATTTAACTTAAATATCATTCGGTTAATATTATTGTTATGCGAATATTCTATTAAGTTGGCAATTTTACAGGCTATGTTGAACTGAATTTTTAAGCGAGACAACATCAGAAAATTAAAGAAAAATCATAATATTTATGTGTGGTCTATATTCATAAATGAACACATTTCCACTTAAGCAGCAATAACTTCAATAATACCCATAAAATATTTTGAGCTCTCTCGCACTGAAAACTATTTCTCGGTTTATATCATTTTTTTTCGCTTTACAAAACGACATCATGTATATAACATAAAGAGAAAAAAATGTAATATCAACCATATTATAAATTTTATCATTTATCGAATTTGATGTTGTAATTTGTATTTTCATTCATTCATTTTTCTATGTGTTGAAAAGCAAAAAACCGAAATGAATTTACAAAAAAAGTACAGACTCGAACAAAAAAAATGATTGAACAACAAAAAAAGCTCAATTCTAAATGTATAATTATGAATTAAACCTACCCACTAATTAACAGAGTGGAGTTAAAAGATTTAAACGAAGCAAAATATAAAAAAAATGAATAATAATCTGCTTTAGATTTATACTTATGTGTTTTATACTCGAGATAAATATATATATATGCATTCCATTGTGCGATACAAATGGGAAAAAAGTGTGAGCGAAAGAGATAAAATTGGCGCAAATGACCTTTTTATTCATCATTGTTTTGTCTTGAAATCAAAAGAATTCATTTAGATGCAATGTACGACAATTCCGTTGCATTTTTTGCATAATGAGGACGGTTTTTTATTCAATTTGTTGCAAAAACCACCACCAATTATCAACTATTTATTACCTTCTTTTCCACTCTCGTATTAAATTTCCAATAAATTTGACGACGTATGCATACGAAATGCATATTTTCACACTTCATAAATGCCATAAGTTATAGCACCACTCAGAAATTGGAATATATAATGCCATGAAAAAAAAAAGAAATATAAATCTGATCTGATTGTAGAGAACGCACCAACCACATTATTATTAATATTGAATTCAAATGGATTAATTAATTAGGCCAATGACGTGCAATTTCATAATGTATGACATTAAGTCATGGTTTTGAGGGTTTTTTTTTTGTTCTTGGAATTTTTTTTGTTTGATTTAATGTTTTGGTTAGACAAATTTTAATGAAATGTTTACTCATGATGGGGCATTTTTCGCCATTTTTAATCCATTTCTTTCGGCTGGTTGATTCAGATGAGAAAATTAACACTTAATAACTATTTTAAAAGAAGTTATATCGTTTATCGTCCATTTCGAAAAGTAAGAATTTTATTTAAATTTAATATAAATTGAAAGTGTTTAATATGTATAGGAACAAAATAGATACATTTTTATTTAAAAAAACACATACAATTAACAAAAGTATGCATTACAGTGATGTGTGTATTTTAAAATAATACGAAGAAAAACTATGTATAAATACATTTTTTTTAAGTGTGATAATTGAATATATGTATAATTCTATTTATAGTGGCATAAAATTGTATTCCCTCATAATATGTTTTGACATTTCCAAGTGTCTCGCTCTTTGCTCTGCCTGTCTGAGTGCTTCGATTATTCAAAATATGTGTAGTATACGATAGAAACAATAGCAATCAAACAAAAAACTTCAAAACTAACACGGGCAAATTTTAATGGATCGCATTGATGATGGTATTACATTCGGAAATGAACCCAATTTCCGGTGAAATTAAATCGAAATGTCCTCGCGATATATGTTTTTATACATGTACTTCTATGGTTTGAATTTGCAGTAATAAAACCGAACCATCAACTCATTTTTTTCCTATTATTTGTCTGGAAATGAAATCCAGCACATACACACACACACACAAACATGCGGTGAGAGATCATCGAAAGTGCTCCGAGTTATTAATTAATTATTTATAACGATTGAAATGAAACTGCGGTTCATAATATACCATGCACGTGCGCATTTATTCCTTTTCTCTTTTCCTCTGCATGGTGAATATAAATATGTTGGTTGAACAAAATAATAAATGCAATCATAAAAATCGCATCAATTTAACATTTATATGCGGGGGAAGGCAAATAACCACCAACGAGTATGCGACTCATTTCCTCGATTTAAATGTAATTTTCAACCCGTCACACAACGTTGAATCAATTTATTTATGCTAATTTTGTTTGCATTTTGCACTTTATTAACCATTTTGGTGTTTGCTGACTTATTTTTGTGTTGCCTAAATGTGTAAATGCTTTATGATATTGAGCGTGCGCGCGTGTCCAGCCGCAATAGAATAAACATGCATTTTGAGAAATGCTAAAATGGCAATACGAGAGAATAACACACACACACACATATTTTAATTGCAGTCAAGTACATTCCACACATACTCAATAATTAAAACAGTGAAATTCAATTGGCTGCAAAAACATGTCATCAAACAAACCAACAAGCAAACAAATCAATGCCACACAATGACATTGAAGTGTTTTATTATATACTGCTGGAGATGGAGCTTTCCGCTCATTTCAAAGCTACATAAGCGAAACAAAAGCTTTTGAACATAAAAAAAACCTTACACATGCACGTATACACTTCAGTAGCAACATTTGAATTAAAATTTAACACATGAACTTGAAATCCAACGGAACTTTTTTTTTCATGAAATTTCATTGAACTCGTCAAACCACCATGTGATCCATCTCATTACAGAGACACTTGGCTGATGACGAAAATTAAAGAAAAAAAACATATATTTTTTTTGGTTCATGTAAGAAAAGTTCATTTAAATGTTAGTAATGAAATTTGAAGCTCAAAGAGGATCGAATATTTTCAAAACATTTGAATTGATGATAAATCAGAAAATAAGTTTAATAACAATAAAACGTTAAAAAAATAGTGAAATTTTCTTTAAAAATACATAAAACAATATTATATGATGCCATAACATTTGAAATTCTCTATATTTCCGTAATTTGATGGAAAAAAAATGTCGGTTGCGGTAAATATTTTCTACATTGTTACTATAGTAACAAGTATATATACTTCAATTAGCAAATAATAACCGGATTACTTGATTTTTTCTCTCTCACTCGAAAATTCACTATTACCTCACGAAAAATTTATAGTGAACAGCATTATCGTCCCATTGAAAACAATGGACGCTTCTCTCCCTGCGGCAATCTAACTTAATTAATACAAAATGAAAAATAAACAAATTAATCATTAGCGTAGAATTTAGCAAAGACAATCAATGTTGTAATCCACCTTAACAAACAAATGCTTTCATTAAATCCTCAAATGCCTCAATCCACCGAATGGAATCTGCACACATACAAACACTTATACACTTTTACTTAGTCTAAGAAAATGATTTAGAAGAAAAATAACAAACAAACAAAAGGATACTGTGTCAAATGTTGTTTAATCATTTGAATAGAACTAACAACAACAACAACAATAAAAACAAAATTAATTCAATGTCGATGATATTTTATATGGTTTAATTAAGTATATACTATAAAGTGAAAAATCAATACGTATTATAAAATATATTGAATGTTATGTAGAGAAATAAAATGCATTTCTTTAAAATAAAATGCTATAATAAAAGTTTGAAATAAGATGAAAACCAACCAACAAACAAACAATTTAACAGAGAATATGAAATAAGAATTGTAATGAGAAGACCCTTTGCAATTTAGAAAAGAAATCAATGTAAGTCACATTGTTGCACACTAATTATGAACTAAATTTTGATCGTAAAAATGCTCCACGTATATTATTTAGTTTCAATATAGATGTTAACTGTTGATCAATACTGACATTGAATTGTAAAACTCTTCACACTCACAAACATACACAGTCACACACACACACACACACACACAAACACTCACTCACCAAACTCACAACCAAAATCAAATAAAGTGAATGAAAAACTAAAATCGATTAATGTTATTTTGTTCTAAACAAAATTTTATATAAGAAAAATTGAATAATATGTATGAAATATCAGCGAGTTGGCACAGTTTTATTTCGAGCTCGGTTGATTTATTCATGAGTGCAATGGTTTTAACAATGCTCGTGTTCAATCCAAAATAATAATATTTTGAAATCAAATATATATCGGATAGATTAGTTTGATTGCATTTTTATATTAAATCAATATCGCGAATGGTCGATGGACGAAAACGGAAGTGCCAGTTTCGGCTATGGTAAGTATGTTCGTTATGCCAAAAATGGTTAAAGATATTTTCATAGTATCGCCATAAATCAGCAAGCAATGAAGCATTTTATCCATGAAGTTCATATCGCGTCTTTGAATAAATGATCATAACTGTTTGAGTTCAATGCACAATGGCATTGAATTCAACATTATCATCACGTCTCTATGTTTTCTATTGCAATTTTCAATTTATACATGCACATTCAGACAAAACGTGATTAATTATGTGGAAATTACAACTTTTTCCTTTTTTAAAAAAAAAAAATAATAATTTTCACATGAATTGGCCATTTTAATGAACAATTTCACTTTTGAAACCTTCTTAATGTTTATTAAAAAAAAAAAAAGAGATTTTGTTTATAATCCATTGGTCAAATGATATCATTATATAATTGTATGCATCATGGTTAATCACGGTGAAATGTTAAAAGAAAACAATATTGAACACCGAGAATTGGATATGCGAAGAAAAAAAAACACAAGTTGAATGATCTCAACACCGCGGTGTCTATGTTGGTGAGTACAAAAAAAAATGTGGCATTAATTAATGTAGTGCCCAATTGTGTGTTTGTGTGTGTGTGTGTGTGTGTGTGTGTGCCGTTAACCCATACCTTTATTTAAATAAAAGAGTAACGGTCATATTTGAGCCAACAAAATATCAATTCATTTAAAAATTTCGAATGCATTACGCATTGCTTTTATGATGTTATTCATTTTGAATACATGATTTAGAGCCAATAATGCGACGCAGTTGTGTGAGTGAATGACCAAAAAGAATCGCTTGCGTCAAAAATCAGAACAGTGTCAACGCAATAAAAACACAAAAACAATCGAGTGGAATATTCGAAATGCTTTCACATAAAAAAAAATGTACACGCTTTTCTGGTTCGAGACTTTATCAATTGACACCGATCACCACTATAGTTCAGGTGACAGCGATCGCGGCATACTTTACTCGGTCCAAAAATACACAAAACTTGACACAACTTCGAAAAACAATCATACACATCATCAACTGTATAATTTTTATATGCAATTGCGCGCACCGCAAATCATTATTGTTGTTGCTGTCGTTTTTTTGCGTTGAACATTTTCGATGGTATTCATTTCATGATATTAATTATGTGGTATCTCGTTATTATTTTGTGCATGCGGTGAATTTTAGCCATAACATTTTAAATATATACACATACACAACAGTTAATCGGCGGAAAGGAAAGCAACGGGCCAACTATTTAAAGAAAAAATCATGTATAACATACACACAGTACACGATTATTTGGTAATCGTGTTGAGAATTTTTTTATCATAAGATGTGTACTGCTCGTATAAGTGTGACGTATGTATGTCGGTCTGAATGTGTCTGAATGTGTGTATTGGCGCGCTTTGGATCGTATTACTGAGAAATGGTAAATTGTAAGGTAGGGAGTGAAATGCGAATGCAGTCGAAAGACATAAAGTCTTTTTCTTCTTCTTCTTATTCTCTTTCGTCTTTTTCTTTGCGATATGTTTTGTTTCGACCCGTGCCAAACGGAACGAAACGAAATACACAAAACTTACAACGAAAACACACTTATATATTTTATCGATTTCCATTTCGATTGTGTGTATTCTTGTGCGAATAGGAGAGAAGAAAACGAAATACACAACATAACATCAATTTTCTAAACACTTTTCCATCGCGTTGAATATTTGAATTCATGGTGTTTTTTTTTTATCGTAAAACATTGATAATGGTTTTGTTGTTTATTATTTTCAATTTTGAAATGACATCATATACCAAAACAAATGGAAGTTGTACTAAAGATATGCACACTACATTTTCTCAAAATGTATATGTTTCTTTCAATATTTCTCATGGTGTTGTTCGGTGTATCTAACTCTTTCCGTGAGATTTATTATGTTCAACTACGCGCAAAATATAATCAGGTTCGTCTTCGAGCTCTTGCTGCAATGAAAAGAGAAAAAAATGCGCCAATTGCTGATATTACCACATATATTGAGCTATATAAAAAGCTCGTACATCTATAGTAAAAGCAGCAACAGTAGTAACATCAACGACAAACACGACCGAATTCATTTTCATGCACACATGCTGCGTACACAGAGAGAGAGACAGGGAGAGACAGACACTGTCAGACACATGCATACACCATAAACTTCACTACACTACATCACAAATGAGTGAATAAATGAATGAGCTCTAACGTAATACGATATGCGAATTAAATCATTATGTCATTAGCCATAATTCAGTTGATGTTTCGCTGCCAACTGCACTAGTACGCACCCAAAACGATACACACCAAAGTGGTAACCGATATTTCGATTAACGCCGAAAATATAAACCGAAATTTTGTTAAATGGTCAAAGTGTTGTTGGTTCTGGTATCGCGTGCATGTACACATACAATATAAACGAAATTTTCCCGAAAAATACACATATTTCCTTTCTGCTCAATCTACAGTGCAAACGGGTAAACGAATACGAATTTTATGGTTCAATTTGATTTTGATACGATTTTATCGGAGCCAAAAACGTAATTTACACAATAAACTAAAGTGCATATCGATATACAACGAGAGTTTGTAATTAATGCAACTGAATTGAAACTTCTGTTTGTTTTATTGTGCACAACCGAAATATCGGCACATACGTTGAAATATTGCAGTGAATATACCATACGCACATACAGACAGTATATGGATTCAAAATCCGAATTAGTGTTTGCATTTAAATCAATAATGGTCTTTTGCGGTTGTTGAGGTTCTGATTGCTGGTATGAGAACATCCTATTTTCAAAAGTTAAAGCCGCCCCCCACCCACGTATTCAATATATAGTACAAGCAAATAGTCTAAACGAACGAATATGAAACAAACGACCGACCAACCAACCGATACAATTACATACGTGCATTGAAAAGTTTTTGATGTGAAAACTTCGGCTAACCATTGCGCCAGGTGAAAAGTTTTCGATTAGTTGGTGATTTGTGTGCGAGTTGTGAGCGCTGGACATTTTCGCATTTTATGAACATTCCAATTTCAATTCTAACAACTAGTTTAGCTACCAAGCAACTGACCCACAGCAATAGCAACAACAAAAACAGCGTCGATGACGACAAAAAAGCATACTCAACATCAACAACATCGACCAATTTTATGTTGACTCAGCAGCTTTAGCTTTCAATGTGTGTTTGAGATTTTCGTGCGGAAAATTTCGATTGACAATTTTATGTGAACGCCAGTTGAGTGCATTTGTATAGTACGAATATAGATTTTGAAATCATTGATACGGAAAAAAACATTGAATATAAATAAACACGATGTCAATATTAACGTGTAGCATTTTTACACTGACACTGATCAACACCATCAATCGTAAGTACTCACATGAACTATTTTTTGTGGCAGTTAGATTTCGCATTTTTTTTTCTCTGTCTCTCTTTTTCTCTCAACGTATGCCACACTCTCGTTACAAATTGTATCAATATTGTAAATGATTTTGGGTAAACAACCAAATAGAGAGAATCAATTGGAGAGTGATACAAAACTATTCTGATTATGGAATTTTGGTTGCCTTGTAACGTATTGAACTCAATTATGAAAAAAGTTTGTTTTTTCGTGAAAGATGTAACAGAGCAGTAGTCGTGCTCGTCATTTTCAAGGCTACTGTATATGTTTACATGTGCTTCCATATAGTTTGCAATATCACACCGCACCAAGTTTAATTATATTTGATGATTTGGGTGTTGATAATGAAGCGCACCCATATGTAATTAGACCTATGTGGGTGACATCTAAATTGACAATATATAATTCAAATGGTAATTAATTTGTCATTTGTTCTGTGCGTATCTGTCTCTTTCTTTCCTGTGTGTGTGTGTGTGTGTGTTTGGACTTAGTGATCGATGCTCAAGGGCCGGTAGCTACAGCATTATTTCTTGGTGATCCAGCACTTTTCAATACAACACGCGAAGATTGTATATGGAAACGCGGCAATGATCGAGACCAATGTCCAGATCCGGATATTACGATGACACTTTTTCCACCGAAAAAACTTCACGCAAGATCAAAGGTAACTAATTATAATCCATTCACTTCCTACTTGTTATTATCAGCAGTTTTGTCGTTAAGTGTTATTAGTGGAGAGTTGAAATGTAAAAAAAAGAAAACATAAAAATCTGTGTATCTAAAGACTTGTACGCAACGAACCTTACACCGCCAGTAAATATTTGTTTGCATGTTGTTTTTTCTACATCTTCTTAAATAATAAAACTTTCGCTTGTCTGCTCCACATTTCACACAGGTAGACATCACTCAACGTGATTGGTTACGAAACAGTGGCTGGAATCGCGACAAGGAAAATGTAATTCTAATTCATGGCTATGGCGGTAACGTTGATGCAATACCAATGTCCGTTTTGAGAGATGGTATGAATTTCACATTTTTATATTAAACTCATTAGAGATCGTGGATGATTTAACCGCAGCGTAATTTATTTATTTGAAAAATATTTCAAACCGAAAATTAAATGTGAAAATTCCATTACACACTGCACAGTGCCGTCAGAAAGTTTGAGACCAAGCTTCTTTTTTTTTTCATATTGATGTGTCATATTGAGTGTTTTCAATATATACAAACATGTAATTTCGTTTATGCAGAAAACAATAAATATGTGTATTTAAGTGCAGATTTTTACAATTTAGTGTTATTTTATGACAAAAAATCGATGTTTAAAATTTTAGACATAAAGTTGACAAAAAAGTTGATAGTTTTTTTTTACATAATTCATTCATGCAGATTTTGTAAACAATGCGGAATTTCATACAGAAATTTTAATCGAAGAATCTTTGAGCAAAAACAAAATATATTCCAGAAAATCAAACATGCAGCTCGCTTTATTAATTGATGTGTTTTCTATCCGCGAATAATAGTGCAGATTTCGCGAAGTGGGTGGCTGAAGTAATAAACGTAAAATTATTTGTTAAGTGTATGTCTAGCTGCATGGTTCAATATAGTTTTCTGACATAACGCAAAAAAAAAGTTACTTGTTGGAGTGGCTCTTGGTCTATATGAAATTGTATGACATTTTTTTTTGCTTGGTCTCAAACTTTCTGACGGCACCGTACATTGTTCAGTTGTATATGAATGCATTATCTAGATTACGACTCACGGATTTCGATTCAATTGTTTGGAACTGCGACTTGAATTTATTTGGCGTAGCTTTATATACAAAAAAGTACAATTATTTGGTTTTTTCTTGATTTCTTTTTTTTTTGTATACATTGTGGCTATTGTTACATGATGAAATGTTAAACACACAACAACAATGGTGATGACGGCGTTGATGATGACGACGATGACGATACAGCCTACGTGAATCATGGCGACTACAACACATTCATGGTTGATTGGGGGGTCCTATGCTCACCACCTTGTCAGTATAATTTTGTATAAATTTTCCGATTTAATACTCAATCTCCGATATTTTGTGGACACCAACGTAACCCAATGTTGTATGCATATTAGGTTATATTGCAGCGGTACATAATCTCAAACCTGTTGCAAAATGTTTGGCGCAGGCCTTTTCATTTTTACGTAATTCTGGTATGCCGGTACAACATACAGTTTGTGTTGGACACTCGTTGGGCGCTCATATATGCGGTTTAATGGCAAATTATTTAGATTTTCGTATCGAACGGATTATTGGTAAGTTCTCCCATTTTTATGTCTTTTATAATTCCATATCTCGTTTTTAAGATATCCGAAATCGTATTTGTTTTGTATTTCTTACGCAATGACGAAAAAAACTTTCATTTTCATTACATTACAGCTCTTGATCCCGCTCGTCCATTGATAGCGCCTGGCATCAGCAATCGGCTAGACAGTGGCGATGCAAAATCAGTTCAAGTCATGCACACCAATGCTGGATACTATGGCGAAGGCGGACGTGTTGGACATGTTGATTTCTGTAATGAAAAAAAAATGCACGAGACGAAATGAGCGAATATTATTTCTAATTTTTATTTCCTCTCATTTTTAGGTGTTAATGGTGGCAAACGACAACCGTACTGTTCTACTACTTCAAGTATGTGCGCACACATTTTTTATATATTTATTTCACTTGAATTCATTTCAGCATTTCAAAAATGCCATTTTTTGTGTAACTCGTTCAACATTTTTATTCGATTTCTGTTTCATTCAACCTCAATATTTTGCAGACGCGAATTTGTGCAGTCACATTTGGGCAGTGTGCTATTTATCGCAAAGTATCTACGATAGTTCAATCTTGAATGCCGAACCATGCACACGAAGATGTCCGGTTGGTGTTCGCAGTTTCCGAAATAATCGATTTTTGTATCGGCAATCGGTCGGTTTCGACATTCCAATGGGTCAACACACTCCAATGAAGTAATTTTCCAATATTGACATTTCTCTCTTCTATCTTTTCTTTTTACAATCTCTCCATCTTCCGTCTTTGCTCTCATTTTTATCTCTTTCTTTCTCTCAATTCTGCTTGACGTTGCTTTCTATCTTTCGCTCAATTCACATTTTTATTAAAATTTTATGACTTCATTTTCGTTTTGTGTGTTTTTCTTCTTTTTTTTTGCAGTGCATATGGGTCGTATTGTCTGAAAGATAATGGAGTACCGTTTTGCCCATCCGAGGCACATCCAATTGGCGATGCACGATGTTGCATTGCACAAGGACAGGATGGTCTTGATGAAATCAGCTTTCGAAGCAATTCGATTGAAACAATGGTCGATTTAATGAAAACACGAGACAGAACCTAAGCATACAGCATATTTTTTTTGTTTGGATTTTTTGCCAAACGAAGTTGAAAGTCCTTGTAAAATCGTGCTTTTCCACTACAGCTCATTTCACATTTGTCTCAATAACGAAAAGCAATATTAAATTGTAAATGATTTAGACTAGATTATCCAATACTATTACCAATTTATATGTTTGCTTACCATTTTTGATGCCAACAAATTAATCCATTAAACTAGATGTAGAACCAAGTTTATGATAAGAAACTACCTTTTTTTACTCGAAAATTAAAAAACCATTGTGGTAAAAATAAAATGTGCGTTTATTTTTCGTTCATATGGATTTCGCATTTATTTTTATGTAAACATATTAGTAAGACTGCAACATCGTCGACTGCCAATTTTATTTTTGTTCATTGAACAAAACGGTCGTTCCGCTGCTGATAAACAATATGAACCGCGAGCACTAGATGATCGAAAGTGAAAATAAAAATCAAATTTATTTAATTTACTATTTGAAATATATCTTGAAATCCGAATGGAAGTGTTCGTTTTTTTTATGTTTCAAAAATCTTTAAAGTTGAAGTTCAATATTTCATAACAAAAGATATCAAACCTGCTGGACATGTTCATGCCAATCAATATATTCTCGGGTGCATCGCTTCCAATTGTATTTTCATTAATGGTTGAGTGGTCTGATGGATTTTGAAGCAATTGGCCAATTTGAAATATGCTCAAGTGAGGGCATGTTGCTTTACACCGTTTAGCTTGCATGTGATGCTCATGATCAAACAGACTTTGTGCTATAAAACACAATGCATACAAATGACTACAAAGATTTGGATCTGTTCAATAAAAAAATTGAAAAAAAAAAACCGTCGAAAATTTTTTGATTAGAAAAAGTCTTGGAAGATCGAAAATCGTATAGAAAAATAAATTCAAGATAAGTTTCAACTGTAATAAACCAAATCAACCGAAATGAATGATTATTGGTAAAATTCATTTCATACTTTGAGAATTTGCGCAAAATGGTTGAATATTTCCATTATTAACACACACATCGGAGTGACCGATTGTGCCCACATCACCATAGTAGCCGGCATTGGTTTGTATTGTCTGTACTAAATAAGCATCACGCCAACTCAATCGGTTTGAGTTTAAAATCAATGGAAGTGCAGCATCCAAACCTAGAACATGAATGAAAATTACACTAAAACTATGCGGATAACTTTAAATTGAGTGGTTTGAAAGATGAACACATTTTTACGTTACACCAAATGATATTTTATACTATTTCTCTGATAAATTATACTTGCCAATAATTTTATTAATGCGAAAACCAAGGTATCTTCTTAATAATCCACAACCATGTGCGCCCATCTACACCAATTGAATAAAATAACCAACAAATAAAATCTCATTCATATCTCTGTCGCTCCACAGTGCAAACTGTATATCCTCCGACAATGAAAAGGGTAAACAACATACCGAATGTCCAATACATGTGATGCTTCGCTTATGCATGCCGGAATTTATAAAGTTTCGAAGGTAAGATGCCACACAATTACTGACATATTTGATGTTTTGTACAAGAGATACGTCTATAACAAATAGAGTGTATTTGTGAATTACATTTTATTACATTTAGACCAACAAAACGTACAACAAGGAGCCCTTCCGACCGGTCCATAATCAATCATGAAAAAGTTATACTGGCCATTCTGTATGAAAGCGTCACGCATCAACAGTGTTGGTGGAGAGTTATCACCACCCGCATATCCATGGATGAAAATTATATTCTCTTTCCGTTTATCCCAGTGTTTGGAGTTCACCAACCATTGGTCATTCGTTGGATTAATCTATCATTTCAATTTCAAACATTTATACATTAATAGATTAAATGGATTTTTTATGAAAAATTACTGATAACTAAACCATTCCGAAACCATTCAATCCGGGCTACGGAATTTGTAATGCTTAAAAAGCTATACATTTGAAGGGTTTTCAATACGGTATAATTAAGTTGAAATCGAGTATGAAAGCTAGTTGAATTGGACACTTCAATGAATCACTCTGAATAACGGAACAACTGGCTGCCATTTCAGACGTTTTATACCGAATACAACTCTTGGGGTTTTATCGTTAATCGATTTGCTATTTATGGAATGTACAATTTCATTCGTATCATCATCCACTTCCATCATATCGACAATGAATATTTTAAATGTGCCCCAATTTTGGAAAAAAAATAGAGAGAATATTTTTGAGACTAGATTTTTGTGTTGTTTTATATGCGAGTGTATATGTTTATATTCATTGTCTCGGTTGTAGCAACTTTACCGAAACTGGTTTGAATAATTGATAATAAAATTGGAAAATTGAATACTTTTTCCTTGCCTATTTGCCATTTAGTTATGAAAACGTCATCCATGTAACATCGGTACAATGTAAAACGACACAAAATGAAAAATTGATTTTTGTGTAACAAAAAACCCAAATAGACTATACGTTTTGTTCTTTCATATTCAAATACTGAACATAATGTGTACGTGTGTGGGAGAGTATTTAATTTTAAATCGGAAGAACATCATTTAATAATGAAAAGACTACAACTTTTGATTTCGATTTCAATTTTACGAATCATTATTAGTCGTATCCATTTTCGTTGTATGTTTGTTTTTCGTCGCCCACTGATTCTGTGCACCAACCGAGAGCAACAAAAATATAAAGCGTAAAATGGAGAATGAGATTTATTTGGTTGATATAATCTTTTGGTATCGAGATTAAATGCTTGGCGTCAAAGATTTGGTCCATTTTCGGCAAATGAAGGTAATTTAGTATATGCCAAAGTATTAATGAACACATATACAAACAAAATGATATCATTAGCACGGAGAGGGGGGGGAGGGGTGGTAAAGAGAAATAAAAGGAAAAAGTAAAAGTAAAAGTATAGATGCGTCTGGCAAAAAACGGTGAGATATAAGATGCACACGCACGCAAAATCAGCATGGGGTTTTCTTCATTGAAAAAGAAATGTGTTATTCTGCGAGTTGGAGTTTTTGGAAGATTTTGAAAAGTTGTTTTAAAAAATAAAGTAAATAGGGATCCCGAAATCAAAAGTAATAATCATGTTCCGTACGATGCTTTCATCCGATTACTAATTATCTTAATTACCATATTTTTTTGAAATAATTCAGCATAGCAGAGGCACACACATATACAAGCACTCAGGCACTCATATTTGCTCTGACTTTATTCAGTATACTGCAAAGTCCTTTATATAACTGAGATCAGAATTTTTCGTGTGTGTATGACCCGTTAGCGTTGATAAGCTAATATATTTTTCGTTTCTTTTTTTGGTGCATCTGTGTGTGTAAGTGTGTTCAAAATGAAAAAGGAAAAGTTTGCTGAGGCAAACAAAATGGTCTTACCAACTCTTCGGCTCCATTGGAGTATAGCCAAATTTTAACGTCTTTGGTACAGAGTTTGTGATCTTTGAACGTATTACGCCAAACACAATCTTTGTGTGTTGTATTGAAAAAATCTCGAAAACCCAGGTACAGTCCATTGTCGACGATATTGTCCAATATATTCACTGTGCGCAAACATAATGAAGTGAAAAAAAGAAATAGAAAAAAAAAACAGCAGTGAATTCGAAATGTGGTCGTGAGGTCAGTTGATCTCTCAAAATATATGCAAAATACAAAATGAGCATTAACACCGTACAGAGCAAAGCTGTTGTCAAAATGGCATAGTTCACACCACCGATGAAAAGGATTAGGCCGATTTTCATTTCAAATGGATAAAATAACATTCACTAATGCATACACACATACACACTGGATACACAGTATTCACATTTACAATTTCACTGTCGCAAATGTTCAATTTACCCCGATATCAAGAATGGCACTGATACACACAGTGAATGTTCACACAAAAAGGCTAACACACATTCTCATCTATAACAACACAACAACATAGAAAAATATTGATCGATTTAAACGACGTGCGATAAAATAACAAAACTGAAATTGAATTATAGTTGCTCCATTGATTTACTCCCCGTATTAAAATGCAAATGCAACACTTGTTTATCCATCAACACAAAATGGCAAAATCCGATAAGAGTATTTCTTTAGCACGTGATTTGATTGAAAACGGTAAGGGGGGAATGTTCGACCGCGCGCACGACACAATGCGAGAGATAGAGAACGAGAGCAAGGGAGAAAGCAAGATATTGAAATATATATACATCTCTATAGAGAAAAAGAATACGGCGAATAAACTGAATAACCAACGAAACACTCATTCACTCATTCCATTTTGCGCAGCACTACAGAAAAACCACCTCACTTTGGCTTTTTTGGTTGTTGAATGCTTTTGGTTTACGCGCAAAAATTCTAGCTTGCTATTGTGTTCGATAAAAGAATTTATGTTGATGTTGCTGTTGCTCTGCTTTAAGTGTGTTTACACTCCTGATGTAAAGTCACTGATATGTACGCATAATTGGTAATATCGCGTGTGCGCGTCATCATTTCACGATGCGATAACTACTTCAGCAATGCTTTTGTTATTGTCTCTCCATGCTGTGCACAATGCATACTATATTATGCGTTTGCCTGAGCGTGAGAATGAGCGAGTGAACTGTGTATTTTGTTATTCTTAAATGTTTTTCTGTGGCTATAAAATACTGTGATTCGTTTCTTCACATTTTGCACTTATTGAATGCCAAGATCTTTTGCATTACTAAACATTTATATTTCAATACACACTGAGCAATGACTATAGCATACAACGTCAACGAAAAAGAAGAAGACATAATCAACGAAAAAAAAAATCAAATAAACATAGTATTAAGCGCATTCGATGTTTTCACGTTCCATTAAGTTTCATAAATTTTGCACATATTGTGAGCACAATACCGATGCGCACACAATGACTTCAACCTGAACACTGTGTGTGTGTGTGTTTCAATCGGTGGTTTTTGTCGATTGTTTAACCTTAAAATTTATTATAAATGCCATCGTGTCGAACATACCACGATAAATATTCGATATCGCGATTTAAAACAATAAAACTGATAAAATCGAATATATTTGGTTGTTGTTTTTTTTTTTTTCATTTTATAAATAATGCATCCAAAATTCGATGTGGTAACGAAAAACTACTCACTAAAGCTAACTCAAAATTGTGCCAATCCGCATAAAAGTGAACGTTTGAGAACCTAACCCATTCGACACAGCTGAATTGAAATGTATATAACGTGTAATTTTAATTTAAATAACTAAACGTAAAAACAAACATTTGTTTATTTACTATATCTTTACAAAATGTTCTTTTATGAGATTCAGTTTTGTGTCATTTTCAACATACGGAAGTTTTGTTGAAAACTTATAAAAAAAATGAATTATTTTTGCGAAAAATACACGGTAATAAATGATGGACTTTTTAATGATCTTTTGTTCAATAGCACAAAAGATAACTGCAAACAACACCGTACTCATATCTCTCTATTTCGTATCTATATGGAAGATTAAATACTCTTGAAAGCTGACCTTAAACCAGGCTTAATACGAGAAAAGAGAGAGAGAGAGATAATAAGGGCGAAAGAAGCGAAGAGAAAGAGAACGAGCGGTATATATTTGTTTGAAAAATTAATAATAAGCACGACTCTAATTGAATGAAATATCAAAGCGGTGTGCAGTGGCATGTGTGTATAAATTGACTGGTTTTGATTTCGCAGTCATTTTGTCGCTATTGTCGATGACATTCTTCAAATCGTATTTTTTTTGTAAATACAATGTAAACAAAACCAATAATGAATATGGTGTTCATTGTACAGGGTGATTTGATAAAAAAAATGTTCGAATTTTGATGCGAAAAAAAAAAACAATTTTCGTTCTTTTTCAATTCAAGACTTCGACGATGTGAAAAGAGTATTAAATATATACAAAAAAGAACCTCATAAATTACCACTTTGATTTTTGTTGTATTTTAAATGTTTTATTATGAATCACCTTGTTTATGTGGAATATTTAAGTATAATAAATATGCTTCTTGCGAATTTTTTTCTGTTTATTTTTTTTCTCACATATCAGTTTTACGTATAAAGGTTTCCGAACTTTGACTGTGTCATTTGCAAAAAAAAAAAAATGAAGACGACTTTGCACAACTTTGTGTTCAGTGAGTTTCGTATTTATTTTTTTGATCAATCATTCACATTCACAAACAGACATACACACGGCAGACTTCGCTAATATCGCATAATATTTCCTAATTAACTGGCAATTCAAAAACTGTGTTGTGCTTGACTTGATTACAATTTTCAAGCATCTTCTTCTTTATTTCACTAATTTACGAAATATACTTGAAATTTGATTGATGTGTCTCGCGAGTGCACCATTTACCCTCCATTTCCATATGTTTATTCAGCGAAAGACTTTATATTATTAGTTAAGCTACAGTAGCAGCAGCAATAAAAAAATGAAAATAAAACGGTATTTAATTGTATTTGAATTGAAAGCTGTTTCTTTATAAAGCTAGCTCCTAAAATATGTACATTTTCGATGACATTTGAAGTGAAAAGTATGTTTTGGTTTACATAAAAGATGAAAATTGGCGTTTTGATTACATGCAAGTCAAAAAAAACTAAATTATTTGAAAATAAGCTAAAAATATCGTTGGAAATCAATATTCTATTCTATAATTTCATTTTATATAGTATTTTTGTTGAAAGAATGCGCAAATAAACTTCTCAAAATTTAAAAACGCACCACTCGAATCGAATCATATACATCAAACGGTGTTGTGTTGTTGAATATAACGTCAAGAAGTTTGTTTTTTCCTGATGCCAACGTATTTTTCTCATCAAATGGATGAAGCTAAATTAATGTCGAATGAATATCTGGTAGTTTTCCATTGTTCGGACTGAGATGAGGTTCATTTATCTGTAGAGTGTAACACGTTCCTCTCCACATTTTTTTTTGCACTCAGAATAATAATAACAACAACACTAAAACAAATATTCAGCATGCGATTTGTAGGCCAAAGAAACTCATTATCATTATAAGTAAATTCGACATTTTAACTTTGCAACCTACAGTGGCTTGTACAGTTCATGGTCTCAATCACTGGAAATGCGTCTATAATGTCTGAAATGAGAATCTGGTTTTCTTTCGATTTTCGAGATGATTTACCTTTAATTCGGTTAACATCTTATGTGCGCACAAAAGAGAGCTGGTTTGAAAAGCCTCCATTAACTCTATTGATAACATTTTTCGGATTGAATGAGATGTGCTCGCGAGAGTGAGATGACGCGTAAAAAGGGCAGATACAGATAGATTGAAGAGAGAAATAGGATGAGAGGCCACAGTAACAATGGTTTTCTTGTCAGAATGAACTTTTCTCATCGTCATCGTTGTCGTCTGGTTTTTATTAAAAATGCTACGATTGCAAACATACGTTGTATAAAGTTCATTCTTGATTCACGCAAACTTTCCTTCAGCTTTCATTTGTCATGTCGCAGTGGCTTCTTCGAGTGTGCAATTTTCGATAATATGTTCTATGCGATAGAGAGTGAGTGAGAGACCATAACAATAAAATGCAAAAGAAAGCCAACGCTTTAACACTGCAGAGAGAAAAAGAGCGAAAAAAAAAGTATTCGAGCGCAAAAGAAAAGAATTAAAACAAAATGAAATGGAAGACCCAAAATGTGAATGCCAAACGAGAACAAAAAAAAAAACTAAAATAAAATCCACTGACCAAAGTGGATATGCGATTACATTGAAGTTCTGACAGTTGCATTCAGTGTCGACTTGGTTTTAGCTACGAACAGTGGTCACGGTCATCACGTATTTTATATACACATTTCGGACAGCTATTTTATTCGGGTTTGTTTCTCGTATTTTTCTGTTCATTGGTTTGTCGTTAATTATTGAACGCGTTGTTATTCGTTGTAGAATTTTCGTTCATTTTCCGTGCGCTCGGTTCTGTTATATGCAATTTATAAGGCTAGGAGTTCTTGTCTATGACATCGTCGTCGTCGTTGTAGTCGTCATTATCGTCAAAGTGTACGTTCTTGATTTCATTTCATAGATTTCAAGCTAAAGAGTCTAATAAAATCACTTTGACACAGTTTTTCGACCATTTATTTTCTGCAATAATTAAAAGACTTAATCGGTGCAAATTTTGTAAGCGTTCTGCGCGTTTATACGGATGCAGCTGTGCATGTACTCACTTTACATCGTACACTTCGGCCCTAATGCCGTACTACATATACCGTATACAAGTTGTGCAACTGAAATAGTTACACATTGAGAGATTGGGTCGATTACATTTTATGTGATGATTTTCATTGAGCATTTTATCAATGTGGCTTCGTATATTTTGGCGAATTAGTTTTTTGGAGGTGAACATTATTTCGAATGAGAACCGGATAAATGGGAGAGCAGAGAGAAAATGAGCACTCGTGAAACCAATATGCCAACCAATGTTTACTGTGAACTGCATATTTACCTTTGAAATGAATTTGAGTGCAGAAATATGTTCAGCATCGAAATAATAATCATCATCACTTTACACAATTGAAATTTCAACATACATTCGGAAACCTTTTTGAATTAGCGAAAATCTTAAAACTAAAAACCATTTCATAGAAATTCGTGGAAGTCAAGTCGAGATATTTTTTCCAGTTCAGCTTCTTGCCGGTTTGAAAAACATCCATTTCATTAGCACGTAATAAAAGTGATGTGAGAGCGGCAAACAACGACAACGGAGACGATGAACGAAAAAAAAAATTAAAAGCATTTTCGTTTCGACCGCATTTGATTCATTTATGGCAAAAATATAAAACGTATTTAACGACATTCTTCAGTATAGTTCTGTACGTTACTTTTCTGTACTTTCATCGTGTCGTTCTCATTCTATACGATCATTCACACTTGAAGAATGGTGGTCGGTATTTGAGAGAGCTATCATATTATTTTCTGTATATCTTTAGTACTCGTCTCACTCTTCCTCAGGTGGGCGTCAGAAACCTCTTTCAAATAAATTTCTACACTTATTTTTTTATATGCGATGTGTGTGTGTGTGTTCAAGAAAAATAGAGTAAGAGTGTGAGAGAGAGAGCGCATATAAGCCCGTTCGACGAACAAAAATTGATGTGTATTTTACAAGAACCGAAACTTATAATGTTTCACCCAAAACTAAGCGTGCACTCATTCACGTTAATTAAATGCTTTCTTTTATTTCTGATTCGCTTTGTTCGGGTTTGTTTTAAAAATGCTCAATTGAAATGATTGTAAATTGAAACTGAAACGCAAAACGAGAGAAACGGCGATGTGAAATAAGTGAAAAACGACAGTACACATAAATATGGCAATTCTTTTATGAATGTGCACAGAATTTCCATTTGTGGAAAAATAGTAAGCGTTTTCGGGTGAATATCTTGCGTAATGAATGAGAGAATTTGTGTGGTTTTTTCAAAGGTACACGCACCGTCATCACCAGCCATGTCGGCTCATTGCTTCATGTTCCTGCAAAATTCATCATTGTATTCAATGTGGTTATTCTTGTTGGTGGTGATGATGGTGACGGTGGTACCGACGGCAGCTTTGGCAGGTGGAGGTGACCACAAATTACTTTTCAGTTAGTACTGTCGTCACTCTATCCTCCACTTCTCACTCTTTCTCCAGGTCCGTTAAACCGCCAAATTCATATGATTCTTTTGCGCAACTAACAAGCACATAGCATGTATACATTGTCCACATTACATATGGGAGTCTCGAGTGCGCGTTCGCGCTCGCGCTCGCACGAATACTCAACACATCATTCACGTACGTTCAGCATACAGAACAATTTTTTTCAATTTTTTTTCAATTTTTTTTGTTTCTTTCGTTTTATGAATGGGTCTAGTCATTACGCGGCCAGAATAATCAATTTTGTTTCAAAACCATAAAGAAATGAAACGCACAAGCGTTTGAGCGCATTTTTTTAAACAAAAAAAAAACTGGGAGAGTCAATAGCAAACTAGAAATTTAAAACAAAAAAGTGATAAACCACAAAAATCTTCAATCTAATTGACACACAATATCTGAAATTGACACACAATATATCTAAATATATGTGAGTATTTTGATTTTCTTTTTTCAAATAAATCACGCTATGCTCTCTCTTTGTTGCAAAGAAGAACCGACAAAAAAATGAAGACGAAGAATATGAAGTAGTAAAAGAAGACAATACACATCTCCTTGTTTTCAGCAAGTACTTAGTTTGATTAACGTTATTCAATTGGTTTCATCTATTGTAAGCGCACGGAAGACTTTCAACATTTTCAAATATAAAAATTCATTCATTCTTTTTCGCTGTTCGATCGAGCATTTGGTGTGTTTGTGCGTTCTTATTTTTTTTCTTCTTTCTCTCTTTTTATATATAATTGGCTACCATATCAAGAACTTATATTTGATTTTGCACTCATCGAATCCAAACAAAAAGTTTTTTTTTGCTCTCTTTTGGTGCTGCAATTGAGTGCAGAGGGAGAGAGGGAAAGTATTTATTTGGCTGAGTTGGCGTGTAATTTATTTTATTGATTTATTCGGGTGTCATTTGGTAATTGAACGGTGAACTTCGATGGAATTACGAGAAATGAAGTAGAAAAAAAAAATTAAAAACGAACAAGTGGCGATTTGCGAAAAAAAAATATATAGAAAAGAATGAGAAAAAAATAAGCGAGCATAATTGTGTCGGCACAAGTGTTTGATTTAATTCGAAAAATATTGGTGAAGTTGACTCAGAAATTATACATTGAATAGAGCAATTACATGGAAAGACGTCTTTTGACAAGAAATATCAATTAAAAGTTCATTTCATTTAATGCATTAAGTTTGAAGGGGACAAAAACAGCAGCAGTGACTAGTGGCAGTGGCAGTGGCAGAGGCAGTGGAAGTGGTCGCAGCAGTACAAATAGCAACGTTGTGCAGTAAATGAATTGAAATTACCATGCATAAATCTGACAGAGAAATTACTTGCCGCTTTGGCATCGAGTTTGGTCTTAAGAGGAGTTTAATCCGCCTTGGCCTTATTTTACTTGTCTTTTGTAAGTTGAATGCTCTCGTTTTGCATTTGGTTTTTCGGTCGAAAGAAAGACAAAACCAAAGCAGAATAAGAGAAAAAAGAGAACATAATCGGTTCATGACATTGATATTTGCAAAATGTTACTTCTTCGTTCTAAGTTTTACAAATTCTCTCTCTCTCTACTTTGTTTTTTTTTTTACTAAAATTAATTTCACTGGTTTTCTATGTTGCAGCAATGTTACAACGGCCATCAGTCGTTCAATGTGCATTCCCATTCCATTTGCCGGTTAAACATGAGGATGATATGCCAAACAAATTGGATAATAGACAGAATCGACTGCAAGTGAACATTGGTCCATGCAAGTGGATTTTTAACGAAAAGTGCCCAAATTTGGATATAAAATTTTATTTGTATACACGAAAAAATCCACAAGATCGCCAATTGATTCATATCGACGAAACATGGGAAAAGTCCAATTTATCTGACTCGAATTTCAATCCAAACGATGCAAGCAAAATCATTTTGCATGGTTATAACAGCGATATGTTTCTGACACCGCTCATTCAAATGAAAGGAGGTATGCATATTACGGTTATGATTTCCACTATAATAACTTTTCAAAACAACAACAACAGCGGTGCAACAGCCAACTGACGGAGTATTTTTGAAATAACTCTCGTATTTCACTCTCCCTTGGCTAGCTGACTGGATTTCGAAAAGTTTTCGAGTGATTTTTACGCGCTATTGCCCGAAATGGATGTTTGAACGGTGTCGATGGCAACAAGAAGCGCAACGCTTACACATCACTCTCCTTCGCTCACACACATGCATATTTTGTTTATGTTTATGTATACATGTGCCGATACCACCGTCGGTCGTTGTTGTTCTTGCTGTTTTTTTTGTCAATGAACTTCACTTACATGAAATATTTTACTATTTTGTAGAATATTTTGACAGAGGTAATTACAATTTGTTCTTCGTGGACTGGTCTGAGCTGGCAAGGGCGCCTTGTTATCCGAGGTAAATTTCTTCTTTTCTCCGCAAATGACATTCATGTAATTTTTTTTTTCAATTTTCCAGCGCCGCATATAACACAAAATATGCTGGAAAATGTATTGGTCAATTAGTCAATCGAATTCATGACGGTGGTTCAGAGAACATCCACATCATTGGGTTTAGTTTAGGGGCACACGTTGCAGGATTTGCTGCCAATGAAGCGAAAGATTTCAAGGTACGACGAATCACCGGTACGTATACACAATATTTTTATAATTCTATCATCATCATCATCATACATGCCACACATATACGCAATGCGTACATATGTACATATTTTATTCACATAAAATGCCATTTGGAAAATCTTATCGAACGAAAACAATACGGCACAAAACCAAATACAAAAACGAATGAAACAACAACAACAACACAATTTTTTTTCTTTTGTGAAAAAGCTTTGGATCCAGCATTGCCGCTCTTTATAAATGCAGCACCGGCCGATAAGCTGGATGCCAGTGATGCCGAATTTGTCGATGTATATCACAGTAATGCATTGGTACAGGGCCAGGTGGAACGTTGCGGCAGCGTAGATTTCTATATGAACGGTGGTATATGTATGTATTTTGTTTTGACAAAGATTTTCAATGCATATGCGCACACACACAAACGCATACAAATCCAAATAAAACAGCAATTATACTGTGCGTCTGCTTTTATTTTCAGTGCAACCGGGTTGCTTTTCCTTTGGATCAAGTGAGTATTCATTAACGTTTGCATCATCATTAAGGAGAATATATGGTTTTCGAATGTGTCAAATTGCATTTATCACTTTTTCGCCAATTTTACATGTGTTTCTCTCTATTTTGTCTTTCATACAGATCCATTTGCGTGTTCCCATCACCGGGCAGCTGACTACTTTACCGAATCGATACAAAGTGATCGTGGATTTTGGGGTTGGCCGTGTAATTCCTATATAAACTATTTGCTTGGCATGTGTCCACGGTCAAATGAATTGCATTTGGGTGGCGAAGATTGCCGTGAAAGTTCAAGAGGAATGTTTTTGATCACAACAAATAGTGAATCACCGTTTGCATCTGGACAATGGACAGTACAACCAACATCAAAGTATCCAACGAATGGACGACGTGATCCATTCTTGGAGCGTATCGATGAGTATGGAAAGCTTGAAAGTGCTTTTAATTTTGCAAATAGTTACCACAAATTATCGACACCATTACCGTCGTCAACGTTACCGGCTGCTGCTTCTGCTGCTACGACAACAACATCAACCGCCAACCACTTTCACTCATACGAACCTCTAACCAACCAAATAAATCAAAACGGGTATGAAACCACAATAAATAACAACTACAATAACAACTTGGATGTTGATAAATCGCGATTCGACCTGTATGACGACGATCTTAAATTGGGTTCAACAACTGAAAGATGGCGACAAAATGATAAATTCATTCTGGTTGAAAATCCGCTTGCATTGGCTCTTAATCGCACAATGCCAGAGCTGTCGTCGTCGTCGTCGTCTTTGGCGATATTGCATCACTATCATCATCAGCAGCAGCAGAAACAGCAGCAGAAACAGCAGCAGCAACAGCAGTCAGGTTCGAGCGATGAATTTCAATTTCCAAAGGTCACGTATCGCTAAAGTAATCAAGATTTAACGTACCACACCATTTGATACGAATCAATGACGACCAACCAATCACGCTCTTCCATATATCGGGGAAGCGATCTGTTTAAAATGTAAAACAAAATGAAAAATAAAGAAAAATTCTATTTATTAATCATAGACATAGCGCTATAGTTAAAAAGAAAATGAAAGAAATAAATGAATCGTCGCCGTCGAAGAAGAAGATAATAAATTAAAATGAAACGAGACAATGAGTAATGAATTTAAACTTGAAATTAACGTAAATAAAATCAAATGAATTCATTAACCTAAAAACATGACAATCACTTCCCATTGTATGTTTTACCTCTTTATTTTGATGTCATCGAATGATGCTTCTTATTGGGGTTTCTTGTGCAAACATATTCTCAATGAACTAAAAAAACACAAGATGTTCTCTGTTTGTTATCAGAGCGATAAAAATTTCTTTACTTTTATTTAATATTATTTATCGTTGCTGCTTTTTTTTGCTACACAATTTCAGTTTCAGTTCAACACGAAAATGGTGCAAAAATTCAATGTCAATACTTGTTTGAATAAGTTAAGACAACATGCGCACCGAGAAACAGAGTGATTTTCTCAAGAAAAGGTAACGCGAAAGAAAAAAATTATGATGTTTGCATTTAATCTACAAGTCGATTATACAAAAGAAATAATAAAATGAGAGAGCGAAAGAGAGAGAGAGAGGGTACATTAAACGAAAAGTTACGTACAGGTGACAGATACATAGCAGTGAATTGTTTGCATGAGCAAGATTGTTTCAGTGTGAAGAAAACAATTCCAAAATAAACAAGCGTAGCAAATAGAGTCGTTGTTTGGCATTCAATCCGGTGAATGTGCAGATTTTCATTAAATAACAATAAACAGCTGATCAAATAGATGCGAAGAAGAACAATGGCGCTTTCGGTATATGAGACGCACTTTGCTTTTCCGTCATTCCTTAAATCGACTACCAACTAACCCACCAGTCTCCATTTATGATTTTCTCTCTCTCTCTCTATCTATCTATCTATCTGTACATGTGCGTGTGCTCATTTCCTCGAGGCTCTGTAACTGACGACGGTGAGTGAGAGGCAATATTTCAATCATACAAGTATGCAGCTATCGCCCGCGCGCAATTTCTGTGCTGTTTTCTTTTTCACTTAATTTTATGATTAAATAACGTTTAACCTAGACTATTTTATGAAGGCGCTTTTGCGTTTACACGTTCACAACATCAATTAGGCATATCGTCCAAAGACGTTTCTGTCGCTCATTGGCAAAGCGCGAGAATTCTTTGCATCACACGCCCGCGACAGCGCCAGTCTTTCTTTTCTCACTCATAAAATGCAAATACGTGCGATTTGTTTGCACTGAGTTTATTATTATCTTGTTAAATGTATAAAGAACACTTGTTTTTTTTTTTCGTTCTTTCTTCCCCATCTTTTGCTGGCTTTATTGTGGCTGTCTCTTTCTGTCTCTATGTGTATTTTTGATATCGATTGTAATCGGAAGGATAGGCGTTAAACGAAGTTGAAAATCTGTTGAATGCCATTGAATAAATTCCAACTACAAATTTTTCCTCAAATTAAATGTTTACGCGACGTCTCAATCGAATGATACAGAACGCTCGTTCGCTCATTCGTTTGCCTTTTTTCTGCTTGTTCATTTGCCTGACTGCCTGCTTGTTCTTCTGGCTGTCAACTTGCTCTGTTCTTCTACCCAGTTCATCAGTATCGCTCGGCGAAAAAGAGCTTTGAAACGACCGAAATTGTGCGCTATTGCATGCTCATCCAGGCTGACATAAAAACTCAACGACGACAATTTTGACAATTCGCGCGTTTGAAAACTCAATTTTGTGCATATCATTTTCAACAAAACGGCAAAACGGAAAATCAAACCGACCGAGAACCAAACTAAGAAAAAGGGTTTTTTGTTGTTGTTGTTGTGTAATTTTACGTTTCAAAGTGCTCATCAAAAAAGGTTTCATTCGCACACTTTTCATCGCTGTTGTGTGTTTTGTTGCTGCTGTTGCCGGTAAGTTTTGGTGTCACATTGTCGTTGCCGTTGTTGGCTGCGTCGCATTGGCTTTTGCTTTAAATTTTTGTTTAGCAAAAAGAGCTCGTTATTTTTGATTTTCACCAAACCATGTTCGCGCTTTCGTAATCGCTCAAAACAAGAATGCACAACGAAATGAAGAAGAAAATAATAATAATAATAATACTATTACAACAGAGAGACGAAATTGAAAAAAAAAGAATGAATTTATATTTAAATTGACTGTGAAATTTGGAGGAAAGGGGTGCATTTTAATTAATTGTGCATGACAGTGATAACGAAAAATGCAAGCACAAAATTTTCAAACTAATTTGCATGTTTTTAAATAGAGTTTGATAATGAAATTTAATGTACTTAATGTGCGTACGTATGGTATTTGTGTGTATGTGTATGGCGCGAACAAAAGTGAATCACGGTAAAATGTTAGCGTCGAATACAAAATGTATTTGAGTGTGTATTTGGGGCCGCGCTTGGAAAAATACAATAGCCTGTTCCGTACCATTCCAAAACTGATCCCAAAAAGCATTTACCAAAAATCCGTTTTATATGTGTGTTGGTATTTCGAAATTGCCTTATTTGCATTTGGATCGTCCTGGTCCGCAAACTTTCTCACTCTCAACTTAAACTTTTCTCTACCCACTTTGGAATAATTCATCTTTTTGCATGCTGAAACGATCTACTTTTTCTACAATGCGTTAAATGTTCAGAATGAAAATAAGTGTGTATGTGTGCAGTATTTGTATTTGTGTATGTGAATTATGATAGAAACAGTTCCTGACTGCATAAATAACAATAAACTATTAGTCTGAACTCTCGCTTACATAACCAATAAAGGCACACGTAAAATGTTGTTGGACGTCGTCACCGCCGCCGTCGTCGTCTTCGTCGATGCAGAAAACTATATTGCAAAAGTTTTTCGGTTGAAAATTTTCGGTCGGTTTAGTAAATTCTTTTTGTCTCTAGATCTCGTTGAAATTGCGCATCGGCAAAATATATGAGTGAGTAAAACAACCTTGTGAGGATAGAAAGCGACCAAAACAACATTTTTTTTATTAGATTTAGTCGAGAAGAAGTCTATTAAACAATAACAGTTTTGCAAATTTTTTCGTTCGTTTGATTGACAATCGAATACTCCAGGTAATTTAACCGCAAGTCGATGTTGAACGGTATATTGAACAGAATATACATTGATTTCATAGAGAAGCGTACCGCGTCAAATATTTGCATATATCATAAAATCCATAAAATATTGATGTGTTGCGTAAATGACGGTACATATGAAAATATTGCTCCGTCAAATGGGCCAATTAAAAAATTGTTCCTTATATAAAATGCATTTAACCGTAAAAATGCTTGTTGGGCTGTGTGTTTGAGCGGAAAATCGGGTGTTGTTTTTTTACAATGTTTTGTTGTTGTTGTTGTTGTTATTGTTGTTGTTCTTTTTTGTGTATGTCTGTGTGCAAATTTTTGAAAATTAATCGAACGTTGAGTTCGGCATTGTAACAAGTTCAATATGTTCTCGATTTTTAATCATTGTCTTTTCTCTCTTCCTGATTTCTCTCTGTGTATGTTGTACATGGCCCTCCGTCATACACGAAGAATATGTGCTTGATGCACAATGGGTGGAAAATTAAATACATGAACATTTAGCCAAAGTGGGATGCGTATGCTTGTAATCGTTAACGTTACTGAATTGCACACTACTCTTTCTACTTTTCTTGTTTTCTACCGCTGTCAAACGATTAAAATGTAAAACGAATATATGTGTGTGTATGTATGTGAATGAAAGAACACTTAACTTGTTATGCCAAAACTAGAAAGTCAAATTGCTTAAAGCGCAAAATAGTTTTAAAGTTCATTTTCCTTGTTTAAAATTTACTTGGTGAAAATCTCTATAAAGTCAGTCAAAGAATAAAAAAAAGATAGAGAGAGAGAGAGAGAGTGTGTGTGTGTGTGTATGTGTTTGTGGGAGAAGAAAAAGGGAAAGAATCTTTAGTTCGAATCGAGTCTTCGATTTGGCGACGGCGGCTTATATATTTGGAAAATTAATGTAATGTAATGTAATTTGGAAAATTAAATTTTTCGGATATGAACAATGTTGATTTGGGCAAGAGTATGAGAATGAGCTGTGAGTCACAAAGACGAGATGTAAAGATGAGCAAAAGATCGTTCTCTAAGTATTGCATTTATAAAATTGGCCTGAGGTTAAAAAATTCTGAAACTGTCCCTTTTTTACAATAAAATTTGCTAGAAAAGTGACGATATTTCAATGAGCTTACACTTTCAAAAGCAAACATGACTGCTCACCAGCTCAATGATGTGGGCAGTGTGTGATGCTTTAAAACAGCAAACACAAAAAGTTTGACCATATATAAAGCTTCACAAACAAATGTCAGACACTCAAAATGTCGAGTTAAACCAAAAAAAAAAAATGGAATAAATAAAATAAACAATTAAAACGGTTAAAGTGATACCGGTTGAATGTGTCTTGATAGCGAACGGTGTGAATTAGATTAAACGCAAGCGATGGAAGTGCGTTTAAACCTTATTTTAAAAAAACCAACAGACAAATTTGCGCACACATGTGTGTCGACCACAAAAACGACATACATATATCAAGCAAACACTCTACATGGAGCGACTATCATATCAAGTGCATTTCCATATATACGCAAAGTATGTATGCCGTCGAGTTTTTTTCCACACACGCATAAACCCCAAATATATCGAATTCACATTGTGAATTGAATTGACTAATGACTATTTAATTTAATTTAGCCCGTGTTTTTTATTCGTATTGTCTGCATTATCCAGTGTTCGTCGTCATCCGAAGTCGTATTTTCATTTCGCTCGCGCGCAAGAGACGTTTTAACAGCATAAATGCAATACGAACAAAAAAAACATTCGAAACTGTTTGGTGTCGGTGATATATACATATATTTTCGTTCGTTTGGTCTCTTTCACGCCCAACATAATTAAATTCACCCCAAAATTTTGGTCGCTTCTCAAAAATGGGTTAATGGAAATGATATGATCATTGTAGCGAATACACATTGAAAAGGTATTATATGCATTCCACTTTATGACCCACAATCGATTGCATTGCTTATTAAACCCGAAAATGAACGCACGTATAACAAAATGCTCACTCTTTTTTTTCATCCGCTAAATATTCGCATTAAAGTTATACCTCGTGGATTGCCTTCATATTTTTTTTCGACAGATTTTTTTTTATCATTTCGTTCTTGGATGGTGGTGCTGTTCATTTGTTGGTTGTGTGCCACACTCACTCAACTTACTCGGCTTCTTCGCAATATGTTCAATTTCATTTTATTTTGCCTTGAAGCGTTGGTCTGCTCAATATTGGTTATTCTTATTTAATTACCAGCTTTACAAGCGCATATTTCACTCTCTCTCTCCTCTATCTTTTTGATGAATCCCTGTCCGAAATCGGTTGCTCTTATTTTCGTTGATGCTTCGGGTAAATGGCAGAATGTGATAGTACGATTGAATTCACTGTATCTTTGACATCACATTTTCTGTGTGATGATGGTGATATATTACAGAGTACAGTGCAATTTCCAACGTCATCGGATTCATTTTGACAATTGGCGTGGTCACTAATCTTCGCTGTTATAAAATCGGATTGATTTATTTGCTCAAGTACAAATAGCTAACGGTGCCTGTTCGGACAAATGTTTGATAAAATAACCATTTCTTTCTTTTTCAGTCTTTCGCATCTGCAATACAAAAAAAAAATATCCACACACACACACACACACAAATGCACAGGCGATGAATATCAATTGATTCAATACCATTTCAATTTAGTGTTTGAGGGGTTTGTATTTGTGCTTCGGTTTAACTGGGTAATTTTATTGTGTGGTATAGTACGGATCATGATTGGTAATAAAGAAAGAACTTAACAGTGAAGCTCATTGAATTCCTCATGTTTTCAGACAGTATAGCAATTCATATCGTATGTTGAAGGCATTTTTTTCCCTCAATGTTTGAAAACTAGTTTGCAAAGTACGACTTTATTTATGGCGAATCACGTTTTTTTTTGCTCTCTTCCTCGCTCTTTCACTCATACTGATTCCCTTATATATGTGTATTTTGCAGTCGAGTTTTGGCACCTGATTGGTGTGCACCTCTTTTCATCGCATTCGTATCCTAATGAATGATTGCATTTGTTGAATTTCTCAATGAGTTTTGGTGTTCGGTGGTTGTGTGCGAGTACAGCGTGTGGGTGTGATTTTTTTCGCATTTTATTTTATCAAATAATTGAAACACCTATAACTTTAATTGATTGAATTGAAAGCAAACAATAGCCGTTTTTCCGGATATTCTGGCTTCATATCTATTCCAGAATATATGTGCTGGTGCTGGTGCTGCTGTTGTCTTTCACGGGTGCACTAATTTGTTTTTGGTTTTGCGTTTTATTTCTGGCTTCTGTCATTATATATGCATACAAAATTTATGTGATATCGTTTGGTTATCGTTGGTTTTTATTGCATTCCAACATGATTGATTGGCACATGCTGCATTTTTCACTATACATTTGTGCTTTTTTATCGTAGTCATCGTCGTTTTTTCGTTTTACTGTGCTCGTTTGTGTGTGTGTTCTGAAGTGTCATTTGTGTGCATAAATGGCAAACGAATTTTCTATATAAATAAAATGCATGGTTTTAAAATAGGCAAAAATATCACTAGAAATGGTTCACGCGTGCGGCTAATTGTTTATGTTATTAAAAGTTATTCGCCAGGGCTTGAATTGATAGCAAACCAACCAACGCACACGTCGTATTGTTTTTTTTATTCGTAAATTTTATTTTATTTTATTTGTCGATTGTATTTATATTGTACTCTTTTGGTGTAGTTTTTTTGCTCATCAAGTGAACCATTGGAAAATTTATATATTTAGAAATTTTTAATTTGCGTTAGCAAATTAATATAAATATTTTTTTTTTGATTTTGGATTCGCTGCATTGTAATCGAAAGTGAGTGAGTAAGTGGGTGGGTGCACAAATGAGAGAAGGGTGTCAGAGAAAGAGATTGATTGTTTTCTACAAATGACCGTATTGAATGGATATCAAATTAATTGCATTTCGTTAGCGCATCAATTTTAATCTTCATTAAGAAAAAGCTCGCTCACAAGTTTAGATAGATAGAGAGGCAGCGTGAGAGTGACACATATATACACAACAAGCTTTTAATTCGATATTAAACTGCCGTCGATCAGCTGTAATAATTATCTTTTGCAATTTTAGCATCGAACAAATCACCTATTCGCCTCAACACACTCACTGGTCGTTGTCATTTGGTCTCCCCTATTAGAATACCGTTGGGAGTGTGTTTTATAAATAAAAATGATTGACATGAACATTCGACCGTTCGAACTATCGTGCTTGTTACTGGTCATTTTGATGGAAGGTAAAAATCGTAAACTACAACAATATCATCATCATCATCACGAACATCATTTTGAAGTGTATTAATCTTATTAAAGTATCAAACAAACTATCCGTCGGTCGCTTTATTTTTTGATTCTTTAACAAGCTGATAAATTATTTATGGTTTGATGCTTTTGATGTTACATTTTCCTCAGTCGTATGTGTTCATCTATTTGTGTTTCCTATCTTGTCTCTTTTCATTCTATTTTTCGATTTATTTTTTTATTTTTATTTTGCCTCCCTTTCCACTTCTTCTTTGCTCGTTTTCGATCAAAATTTTTTATTTGTGTTGCCATGTTGTGCGCGTAATTGCAAATAATCACACACATATATATACAAAAAAAAACAATATAGTGACGAGTGGCATGAGTCTAGCGGAGGCGGACGCCGAAGCAGACGCGAATAGCGAACCAACGTATGGTCAAGCTAGAAACTATACAAATGAAGATAAAGACTATGGCGTTACATGGATGTACATTCCCGATGGTAATGGCGTTCCACAAGTTGCATTTCTAACGGAAGAAAGTGAAACATCCCGGGGCCGCAAGAAAAATGCCAAAGATTATGTACGTTTTGAGCTGTACACGCAGTGAGTATTTAGCACCATATTGAATTTATAGCAAAAATTTTCCGTCTTCTTTGCTGCCTCCCACTCTCTTTCTCTCTCTCACTCATTTACTTGCTCAGTAGACACAGTTCGTCCCACACCATAAATCGTTATCTCTCCGACAGCATCGCTATCATTTGCCGTCCATGGCATTACGGGTGATTTTGTGTGTGGGACAAAGTATGAGTGATGGAGAAAAGTGAAGAAGATCGAAAAAAGCAAAAATGTTGCAAAGCAGTAAAATGCCAAGCAACGAAAGCAATTGATACAAAAACACAGCGAGATTTCCGAATTCAAAAAAAAAAAAAAAAATAAACGAACCAAAATCAAGAATTAGTAAATGAGAATTGAAGCAAAATGATACAGGAAATCGGGCCAACCAAAAGTGATGCAAATGAACAAACGGAAACGGCGAAGTGTCGATGACTTTGCGGAAGCATTCGACAAAGACTTGCCAACATACGTTATTGTACATGGTTGGAAATCCAGTTCACAGAGCGACACCGTACAGGATATAAAGGATAATTATTTAAAAACCAAAGACTGCAATGTTATCGGTAAGTTCTGTGTAACGTATGTGTTTGCTTTGCAGCAAAAGCGATATGTTTGAAGCGAATGAGGGAGTGAGAGCACGGTTGTAAAAGCGCAACGTTTTGTCTTTTTGCACACCAAAAAATTCATATGTCGACGATGACGATTAATGTGCTTGAATGTTTTGTTTGTTTTTCATGTTGTGGTTTGTGCTTGGTGCTGCTACGGTTGATGCTCTCAATACCATATACTACTATTTTATTGGGTGCGTGCTAATTAAGCCGTCGATTGGAATGAATTGGCATCGAATAATTTTTATTTTACGCCTGCTCGCCAAACCCGGGACGTTGGAAAAACTATAGCTGAAATGATCGACTTTATGTGCTCGGATAGAGGTGCTGATATCAATAAATTTCATCTAATTGGCCATAGTCTCGGTGCGCATACGGTACGAAAAAAAGAGCAAAGACGAAAGAATCAACGAACACAAGAATACTAGAAAAAAATACATACATATATATATACACTCACACAAAATATGTTTCCCCACAATGCACGCAAGTGCTAGAGAATTTGTTATCGTAACACTTACATAAAATATATATATATACAGGTTGGATATGCTGGCATGTACACAAAGAGCGGTAAAATACCACGAATCACTGGTACAGTATAACATTATCACGAACATATTACCATTTCCGACACCTATATTTCCATTAAACCGTAAAAAACATACACAGACACACACACACACTCACTCACCCAACCCATCAACATAAAAAAAAAAACTACAAACAATCATGCTCATACCCATGTCAAGCAATGCCATTGCATAGACCCGAAACAAGCAAAATAGCTGGGAAATTGAGAGACAGTGAAAGATACAGATAAAATCAATGGATTCTGTTTTCAATTCAATTAGGTTTGGATCCGGCAAAGCCCATGTTTGAAAATACATCAGACAATGATGGGTCGCTGGACAAATCGGATGCTGAATTTGTAGATATCATTCATTCGTGTGCTGGTCTTTTGGGTTATACTAAGCCATTGGGTCACGTGTAAGTATAATCGCATTCACATGAAATTGTCTTTAATTCATTTTATTTGAAAATTTTCGTTTCTTTTTCAATCACATAAAATGTGTTTGCACTTATTTGGTCAGCGATTTTTATCCAAATGGGGGACGAGCATCACAACCAGGTTGCCAAGGAATTTACAAAGAGCTTTTGGGTGCGTTTAATGTTTCTTTTGTTTGTTGTGCTGCCTATTTGCCATAGAAAATTCACTTATACCATCCATATCTTTCTGTTACATTTCAAAATAGAGGCATGTAGTCATGGCCGATCTCATCAGTATTATGCAGCTTCAATTTTAAAAGCAAATGTCTTTACCGCCTATCCATGCTCATCTTATGAATCATATCAGGCTGGCACGTGTAATAAACAAAATGGCATACGAATGGGTGATCCAGTGCCAAAAACAGCACGTGGTGTTTACTATTTGAAAACTTCCGGGACATCGCCCTATGCACAGGGCCGATGATGATGATGATGATGATAATTAAATATAGTACATATTCATTCGTTTGTTATTATTATTATGTATCATTAATTATGACGTGGGCACTTCTATTTTGGATTTTTGCTTTGAATTTGACGATGACAACGATTACGACAAAATCAATGGCGTACAATTGTAAATGCACTGAAATATTTCAATGGAATGGCCAAAACCAGACAATTTTAATTCCAAAAGATGTGACTGTGTATGCAGAACAGGATTGTTGCAATGTTATTGAAATCAATTAGACCAACACTGCCAGGCAACCAACAAGCAACCATTTCAACAAGCCAAAACCATGCCGTTAAGAATTCACTTCAAGCGAACCCCTCATTCCAGCCATCATCCACAAAAGCATCCTTAAAGAAGAGAAACGTTTTCTTTGATTCAATTAACGTTATTTGCTACATTGAATTCGGCGCTTAAGATATTTATTTATTTCATGCACTAATTTATTGTTAAGTATTTATCATTATCATTACTGTTACTGTTAACTGATGTACACTATTTCCGAAGTTATTAAATATTTATTCGAATGTGGTTTTGATCCTCAAATCAAGTGAATGGCACGTATTCTTCGTTGTGCACAATGTGTTTGCTACATTTGTTCGCTTGCACACTTTCGCGTGTCTTCCATTTATACATATACAACAACCAAAACGTCACTCTTTGGGTGAGAAACTCTCGATTCAAATGGGCAATACATATACAAACACATATATAATGCATACACATGAAAATGGCAATACGAATAAAACCAGATATTTATTGGAAAATTTAATGAAATAATAAATTCATTTTGATTTCTCGAGGTTAAATTAATAATAAGATAAAGTACTTATTGCAGCAAAACATTTTGAGAATTTATAGCTTAAATGTTGTGTGTACGATGAAGAAAGTTAGTCCTTTGCACAATATACATATACATTCTCTCTCTTCGCTGCGAAACCATAAAGAAAATTGTCAAATGCAAGCGACATACATACATTTTGTATGCTATCGCTCAATCCATATATTTGTAAATATGGGAATATCAAGAGATGAGGTATGTTTGTTTCAAGCAGGTCACATACTTATAGTCCTGATGTAGTTAACAAAGCGATCTATATAAAATATGGGTGAAAGCGTGAAATACGGGTGAAAGCGTGAAGCAAAGATTTAAAAAAAAATCTCTAATTTGTACATTCTTCATTTGAAATTAAGATGAGCATATAAACATCGAGCAGTGAAAATTAGAAGCAAAGCAACTCAAATGAAACAGCCACAAAAAAATCCACACTCCATCAAGCGAGAAGTAAAAACGAAAAAAACTCGAGTGGAATTTCAAGCGGTATACATAGAAATAGACGAAATCGTTTAACCTTTAACCTCTTAACAATATTACCACCACTGAATTAGAATGAAAGCGCAGCAATTTTCCATGTGTGTGTTTTTTAACGCAAAAAAACTTCAGCCAAGGCAAAGTAAGACAAAATCCAAGCACACAAAAATGAATATGATGAACACAGGAACGGAACACATAAAATCACACACATACCTAAAAAACACTCTCGAAAAGAAAACGTTGAGAGAGAAGAGAAGATGATGATGATGATGAGGCGAGGAAAAAACTTAGCAACGTAAAAGTTGAGCTATGTCAGTTCGTAACGAGGGATCAAATAAAGACGCATCGAATCGAGAGCAATTGTGGAGGATGAATGAGAGCGAACAGGCGGGAGAGAAAGAATTACCAACAAAAATAAAGCATTTGAACGAATGGTGCTCAGGCATATTCTGGTTGTAATGCAAGCCGTTTTCTTCTTCTGCATCGACTGAACCGAACGAAAATCTACGGATCCTTTGTTCTTGTTCGAGCCATCGACCAAAAACTGAAAATTGCTGCACAGCAACGGTTACAATATACACACAACGCTTGCGATAAACACGCACACAGCTTCTCGTTTTCTCCTTCTTTCTGTTGTTTGTCTTCACATTACTCTGACTCTGTCTGTGCCGTTGACGCCATCGACGCCGTTTTACAATTGAATGCGAATCACTGACAATATCGTGCTCACCAATTTATGCACGTGTAAAAGCGAAGAACCCCAGAAAGTTGCGATGACTACGTGTGTGTATTTGTTTGTGTGTGCCTCACTGAACTTTTGTCGGAATGAATTCACATCAATCGTGTGCATTTTCTCCTCGTTCGTTCATTCAGTCCATATTCTGTCCCCCTCTTTATCTTTTTTTTTATTGCTTTGCTACTCCTGTTCGTTCGTTGCCCGACATTTGGCTCCCCCAAAAGTTGGTCTCAGAGACCATTTGGCAAAACCAGTATTCAGATTCGACACGGCAAAGACGACAGAAAGGTAGTGAATATTTTGCATGAAAATTCTGCCGAAAAAAAGGAAAATCTTCATCATTATTGAAATGGTTTAACACGCATCGGAAAAAAAAGAAACAGAAAAAACCAACTCTCATAGCATTCGATTTTTGAGACGTGCTCTCATCGTTTAGGTTGGATTGGCTTTTGGTTTGCGCGTAATAAAATTGCGATCGCCTTCTCGCTCTCACTTTTTGATGCATGTGCTTTCTTTCTCGTTTCACGTTTCAAACCATTTGAATTTTTGAACTGTAGTTCGGTTACTGCTGTCGCTGCCACAGCCACCACTGTTGATGATATTGCTTTTGCTTCACTGTCGATCTGTTTGAGCAACGTACCGCCACCAAATGTATTTAGATGTGTGGCCATAAACCATCTAAAATTTTCAAATCCAAATGCGTATCCATATATACATCGATTTTAATCTACATCCATCGAATTTACTGAATTTACTTTTATTGAAAATCCATTGACAGTGTAACGTGATTCTGATTCAGTTGCGATAAAATTGTCTACATTGTAAAGCGGGCAAATGCCATGAAACCATGCAATGCCCATGTAACATCAACTTCATACGCTCTCCTTCGCTCCTACACTAGCTCCTACATTTCCATCGTGTTCCCTTCGGTGCGCATTTGATATGAATTATGGTTGAAGAAAACTCGTTTTGACGCAATCCGAACTGTTTCTTTTCAACAAACTTGAGAAAAAAGATAGAGCGATCACTCTGTCAATTTGGGTATCATAATTAGAAAAATTCCTTGCATTTCAATACACGCATTTTTTTCCCATTTTCATTCTGGATGGGGAATGATGAAGTATCAATTTTTATGACCGTTGTACGAATGTGATACCCATTGCGATAACACAACAACCCAAAATGATGGTACGAATATTGTTACATGGGATGCAGAAAACGCACCACCATGTGACCATGTACCATGTAAAATGTTGCTCTGTATGTTCGGAGATGCATACAGTGTACACATAAAGCGTATTAAAGCAACGCGTCGTTCTCTCTCTTTGTATCTCTTGCTCTGTCCCTCTTAGCACACAACACACATTACATGCCACACACAAAAATCATCGCAACAAAACACGAGCGTGCTTGGGCAGCACTGAACACTCTTGCTGGCTGCTATACTCGAACTCTCTCTATCCCGTTTGTTGTGTGCATGGTTCCATCGGTGCTACCAGCAGCGATAGAGCGAGATTCTATTCTAGAGGGATATTTTTAAAATTGGCGCATGTCTTTTAAGCGGCAGACATTTAGATTGGTTGTGTGTGCCCCTTTCAATTATAAATTACAGCTACAGCATACTAATGAAATATCTTTCGCTTTTCATGCACAACGATTCATGCAGAGTCGATAGCGATAACGACGACGACAACGACAATAACAACAACAACAACGACGATGACTACAGCGGCAACAGCAGCAGCAATACCGTCAACGTCCATACGACCATCGAGGCATTGAATGGAGCAGAGTATTGTATGTTTTTGTTTGGCTCATTCGCATTCAGTCTTAATATCCCTCACCAAGGCGCCGGTTTACATACATAAAAATACAAACGGGAAAAAAATCACAACCCAAAACTGAAAACTCGACGGAACGAAACACAACACAGAACAGAGAGTAAAACTCGACGAGAAAATCTCGGAGTCAACCAGTAAGCAAAGTACAGATACAGCGTAAGCACACACAATTCGGAACGCACTTCGAACGTTTTTTCTCTCGAACTCATCGTGTCGAAATCATTGCGAGTAGAAAAGCCAAATCCGAAATTGTATACCATACAAAAGCAGAAAAAAACAGACATTGAATTGAGAGAAAGGGAAAAAAACGACAATAAAAAATAGAATTAGAAAAAAACGACGAAGGAAAAAAAACGAAAAAGAACGAGAAAAATAGAAAGTAGACAAGTAAAAAGACATTCATAAAATACACACAGGACATTTGTAAAGATATCGAGAAATTGCAGTGGCAGCAGTAATAGTAACACCAGAAAGTGGAAGCAAATCCGAAAGTAAAATTGCACGAAAAACACTCAAAATCCCCAAAGTAAATTTTGCTTACACACGACACAATCACACACACGCACACACACATACACAACTCATTCTTGGTCGGATGTTCATCATTCTCAGTTCCGACATTTAGTTTAGTTTTGTGTGTAAAACACGAACAAGTTACACATATTATTGCGAAAGACTAGAAAGATATTTTAAACGACGATATCAAACGACGACCACAACCGACAATGATAACGGGTGCGAATGAGAAAGAGCGCGCACTTTAAATGTTTCTGTTTAACTTAAAATACGAAACAAATCATTTTGCTCTGTCATTTGATTCAGCTAGATTGGATCGTTCGCCAGTGTGTGTATAGTGTTGCATGGAAAGCAACGAATTTTCATTTTTCAGTCCTTTCAAAAATGATTTAATTTCTTGTTTCACATTTCGTTTACCTTGTTGAATATACCGATATTTTATCATCGTTATCTTCATTATCAACAGTTTTGGGCATATTTTGTCGTTTGCTTGTTTGGTGTTTGAACATTACTCTTTATATTTGTTTATTGTGACACTTTTCAAATCAGTTCATTATCGACTCATTGATTGTCTTTCCTTCTATCGCGCCAGAGCATAATATTGAAAAAAGCATAAAAATTGAAGAAGTGTTGTGCAATTTTTTTTAGTTTGTCGTCCGTTGTTTTCAAAAGTGAGAAAGAGAATTATCGTACAGATAAAATTAATCGACGGTTTGACGACGGTGAACACGCGACCCCACGACAACGTTAACAGAACTTTTGTTGATATTTTGTTTTGAAAATTATCGTAATTTTTTTTCGCTCATTTTACGCGCTCCACGACATGTTCCGACGGTGATGGTGAAAGAGAAAAGTAAAAAATAAACCAACAAACAAAATTGTCACGTAAAATTAAGCGATTGAAATAAAGTGAATTTATATATACATACGGTACGATTGTAACTGCAGTTAATCATGAAATGTGAACAATTTATTTTGCTCTACCCCGAATGATTATTTCAACAACAATATCATTAGCAGCAGCAACATAAAAGCTCATCACGATCGCGCGACAAGGTATAATATTCATTTCAATATCAATTTTCTTTAGATTTTAGTTTAGTAAAATCCGTCCCATGTGGATCTCATTTCATACACT